TGTATATGGCGGCAGAGAATGGGCATGAGGCGGTTGTTAAGCTGCTTCTCGATACTGGCAAGGTTGACGCAGATCCTAAGGATGAGGATGGAGAGACAGCGCTGTATATGGCGGCGGGGAATGGGCGTGAAGCGGTTGTTAAGCTGCTTCTCGATACTGGCAAGGTTGACGCAGATCCTAAGGATGAGTATGGAGAGACAGCGTTGCATATGGCAGCGAAGAATGGACATGAGGCGGTTGTTAAGCTGCTTCTCGATACTGGCAAGGTTGACGCAGGTGCTCAGGATGAGGATAGACGGACAGCACTGCATATGGCGGCGAGGAATGGGCTTGAAGCGGTTGTTAAGCTGCTTCTCGATACTGGCAAGGTTGACGCAGGTGCTCAGGATGAATATGGAGAGACAGCGTTGCATATGGCGGCGAAGAATGGACATGAGGCGGTTGTTAAGCTACTTCTCGATACTGGCAAAGTTGACGCAGATGCTAAGGATGAGGATGGATGGACAGCGCTGCATATGGCGGCAGAGAAAGGGCACGAGGCGGTTGTTAAGCTGCTTCTCGATACTGGCAAGGTTGACGCAGATCCTAAGGATGAGGATGGATGGACAGCGTTGCATATGGCGGCAAAGAATGGGCATGAGACGGTTGTTAAGCTGCTTCTCGATACTGGCAAGGTTGACGCAGATCCTAAGGATGGGGCTGGACGGACAGCGCTATATATAGCGGCGGAGAAGGGGCATGAGGCGGCTGTTAAGCTGCTTCTCAATACTAGCAAGGTTGATGCAAATCCTAAGGATAAGGATGGACGGACAGCGTTGCATATGGCGGCGAAGAATGGACATGAGGCGGTTGTTAAGCTGCTTCTCGATACTGGCAAGGTTGACGCAGATCCTAAGGATGGGGCTGGACGGACAGCGCTGCATTTGGCAGCAGAGAATGGGCATGAGGCGGTTGTTAAGCTACTCCGCCTTGCATCCTAAGAGGCAGGCTTGGAGGACAACTCCACCTCGAGTCAGCCTTTTACAATCTTTCCTCCTGCAAGAATTGATCCTGGTTTACTCCTCAATCTTTATTATTTACTGCCTATTGCTTCCTATCATATTGGGAGTTCCCCTGGTCGTCGTACATCTCAACAGCAACGCTGGAGGGACCGCAATGGCAATATCACGCAGAATGTATTCGCAGCAGTCAAAAGTGACAGAACCTTCTCGTATGTTCCGGCAGGCGCGGAGGGCTCTAACAACAATGCCTCGCTTTGTGCTCAAGCTTTCGGTCGATCTTTTCGGGTCCCAGATGGTCAATATTGTTGGTGTCCCGTGTCATGTGCGGCTAGCCATGGCTCCCTTCTCCCTTCACTGGCCATAGCCCCACCGCACAGGGACCTCCCTTGCCCTACTTTTAGACCTCCAGACTTTACACACAGTCTGACCTCTACTCAAAGATTCGTTCGTTGTCGTTCAGCCTGTTCACAAATATTATGTCGTGGATGCGGGGTTTGACGTGCGACAGGGAATCGTGGATTTGCAAGACTGGAGGAATGAAGAAAGGAGGTGTCACGGCACGTAGACTGGGCGAGTGGCTGGCACTGGCTAATCTGACGAATGTAATAAATAATTAACTATGAGGAGTAAAAACGAGGAAGAAGGAGTGCATGGCTGGTGTGACAAGGGCAGGTTTCTGGGCTTGGAACAATGGTTCAATTCCGCTGATAAACACTTTGGTCTCGAAAGCCTTGCTGATCCTCTTAACCTTCAACCGAAGGCTGGGTTTCAAGGCCTTCTTATGCCAAAGAGGTTTGGTGCGTACTGAGGTACGTACCGAGTCTTGTTGCTTGAGGCCTCAAGGTATCTATCTAGCGGTCTTCATACATGTAGGTCTTCCTGAGTGTCTTCAACCATTCTCCTTCCTCCTTCTGGCGCCGGCCTTCGTCCGGTCGTCCTGCTTCTTGCTTGGTTGACTGTGATCGCTTCTGTGATGACTGGGGACCGCCTCGTCTCGCTTATTAGCGTCGCCGGCAGTTCGATGGTTGGCTCGCTAGCGTGGTGGCGTCGAGAGGGGCTTGGGTAAGCAATGCCGGTGGCCGAGAGTCTGGCCGAAGTAAGGTTTGAGTCTGGCGGCCTACGGCCGCCGGGCATTCATAAGGCTGATGCCAACCGTTGAGGCTCTACTAAGCCTCGGCAACCCTAACCCAGAACTAACCCTGGACTGTGGGCGATGTCCGTGTGACAGCTGGCGTGCACGAATAAATACAGATCCAGAATCGAGAAGTGGGTCCAGAGCTTCCAGGGTGGATCCAAGAGTAAATGCAACCGGTGGGGTAAGTGCCAAGACCTTAGTGCGTGCACTGACCACAAGGCAGTCTGGCAAGCAGTCTGGCCAGGCCATGACAGGAGGCCTAAAAACTGTGGTTGAAATGTTCCGGAGAGAGACCGGGAGGCGAGAAATGGAACACGGGAGAGGAAAAGGGAGGGGACGGAGAAAGAATGAGGAAAGAGAGGGATCGTGGCAGAAGACCTGGGACCTCTTGTGGGCGGGCGCGGCAGGAAGCACGGGGGGTGGAGGGAGTAAAAAGGGAGCAGTCGAGCAGCCTTTCGGCGGCAGCGCTGTCTCCAAGCGGGCACCGTCTGGCGGCGACAGTTCTTGTGGACCCAACAGCCTGATCTCGCAAGAGAGGGTGTGAGAACTGAGAACTGAAGAGATGCGGACTGCAATTTCGGCATGTTCCAGGTGTCCATTTCTCCCATTCCTTTCTCCGTGCCGCCCGCCCGCCCGCACACAGAAGCTCCCGTCACCGGCGTATTTTAGGTACTCCGCATTCATGGTCGAAATGCACGGGCACGGGGCCGGCAACACCGAGATTCAATTTGCAATGATGGAAACAACATACGGTACGCGTTTGTGAAATGTTCACAGGCTAAATCCTTCACTTTTCCCTTTATCTCTCCAAATCTCGCGGAGTCAAGCGATTTTAGTAGAGGTACCGGCTCGGATCAGTGCCCGGGCCGTGGGAGGCACCGCCGAGGCGCCAAAGTCTACCCAGGGCAGTTGTTGCCCGGATCTGTCGTCCAGCTCTCACGTCAGCCACCTCGGAGCTTGAACACAACAACTTAATTGAACGCGGAGAGAAGAATGCCGGCCAACTTTTCTGTTACTAACCATTAGGAACACCAACAGATGGATCGCTATGAAACCCATTCATTCTTTTTTCCTGCTGATGATTCTCATTAGGTGCGTGTTCGTGTGTCCCGGAAATAGCTTTCTGAAATGGATGATTTCCTCTCAAGGAGGCGATAAGCAATGCCAAAAGACGGGTGGTGGGTACCTCTATGGACGGGACATGGAGGGAAATGGGGCGGGGAGTGCCGGAAGTGGAAGTGGAAGTGGAAGTGGAAGTGGAAGTGAGGGTGGTGAAACATGAAGAGGCTGCGGCTGCGGCTGCGGCTGGGAAGGCGCGGGGGAAGGAGGTGGAGAGAGGGTTTGGGATGCTTATCTTTGGGTCTTTCCTTATTGAGTTGAGTTGAGTTAATGAGGAGAGGGTTTGGTTTTGGGAGGTGATGACATGACATGGATGGCATCGATGATGAGGGAAGCGAGTTTGGTGGATATACCCTCGTTTTTTTTATGATGGGCATGATTAGTTTTGGACGGATATATATGACTTGATGACTGCCACTTTACACACATAAATGACGAGAATTTTGAACTCGACAATTTTTTTTTTTTTTTTTTTTTGCGGAGCCTGCTTGTGATCTGATCGTGGTTTCGTGGATAGGTCTTATCAAACGTTTACATATTCTAGTAATTTTCGAGCTTCGGTTCAGATGAAGGACTACTATTTGTTCCGTGTAATAGACCAAGACCTCTACATCAAAGAATCTGGAGTAAAGAGAAAGAATACGACAAGCTTTACGTTGTTCTTTCCACGAGCAGGAGCAATAAGAGCTGAAAGCAAACACATTGAACACAGCCGAAAGAGCCGAGTGAATGTTTGACGAAATATTCGCACCAGTAATTACATGTAAACATTCATGTCAATACAACGAGACACGCTACAGCCCCTGTATGCCAGGTAGTAGCTCTGTTATTTCGCTAACACAACAGCTGCCCCTACAGTAGCACATAAGATAGTAGATCATCGCAGTCGGCCAATGGGCTGTCGAAACCGAAACCAGACTTTCACAGAAACGTCGTCTTTCAAAAGCTTTCGGGTCGCCCCTTTCATGAGGTATTACTCACTCCTTGTTTACCTATTTTAACGGTCTCTGCTGCGTAATGAGTTGATATCGGTCCAGAAGCCAACTTGTCTTTCATAAAAACGAGATTTTACCCAAGAAACAAGACGTGTACATGATACCCACATTCACATCATTTACATGCTACTGCGCCGCCTCGTCAGCTTTCCCTTCATCCAAGTCTTCTTCCCTTTGAAATTACAGGCCATCCAGTCAATTTTCCTCCGTCTCAGGTGTTCCGTCATCCGAACCGTCATCCTTTGCCTCAGACTTCACGTCGTTGTCATTCTTCTTCCTCCTATTCGGACTCGACGTCATCCTCCTCCTCCTCCTCCTCCTCCTCCTCGTCCTCCTCCTCGTCGTCCTCCTCCTCATCATCCTCCTCCTCCTCGTCCTCCTCCTCGTCGTCCTCCTCCTCATCATCCTCCTCCTCCTTCTCCTTCTCCTTCTCTTTCCCCTTCTCCTTCTCCTTCTCTTTCCCCTTCTCCTCCTGGTCCTCCTCCTCTTCAGGCGTCCCGTCCTCCCAGTATTCCTTCTTCGGCGGGTACTTGAACCCACCGGTCTTTCCGTTTCCCCCCTTCCCAAAGTTGACCTTCAACTTCGCGTTAGTCCGAGCGGATGTAAAAGGATACAGTCGGGTACAGTTGCCCAACAACGCCATAAAACCAATCTCCGGCCCCCTGATGGTGCCACTGACTGTACTCCCGAAACCTGGCCCTTTGACGGGGCGGGTCTACGAAAACGCTGATGATGGTCTTTGTAGAGTATTGTGTAGCAAGTGAGCCCTCCAACACGTGCTCGCTGAAGTTATACACCCCCCCATCATCATTACGATAACCCCATGAGCCTCTTTCCCAGCCTGCGCAACTGCGTAATGTGCACTGCTCTGTCTAGAAGCCAATTGCGACCGCGCCGAGACTTTGTGGTAATGCAGGGTCAGTTCGCATTTGGTCGTAAGAGGAGGAAGTTTCAGACCCGTGGGACTTACAATCCAGACCTATAATCCCAGATCTCGCGTACGGGTAGCTCGACAACTTCTACCTCAAAATAAAAGTGCCTTCTGTGAGTGGGTATCGGATGATCCGCCCGCACTGCTCCCATGATATAGCGGGGAGCTAGTGAATATGCTGCGGTCCACATGTGTTTAGCATGCATTCATGAACAAGACGTAGTTCTGGACACTGGACATGACTTACCCACGAAAGATACCTCCATTCCATCCTCTGAAACGTGAAGATGCTCGCTCCTATCATCCTTGTTCCATCGAGTGGGACTCTTCTTTTTATCATTCGACCCTGTTTTGCCTCCCAACGCGATGATCTTCTGGGTAGCCGATTCGTATTCTTTCCCAAACGAATAGGCAATGTCCAAGGCCTGGTATCCGCTGTTATCGGGGATGTCAAGAAGAAGATTGAGACCCTCTTCTTTCTCATTCAGCACCATATCCAACTGTACTTCCAGTCCTGTCTTTACCGCTGCAAGGATAGCTTCGGACAGGGCACGTTGTCGGTTCTCTGGGAAAATGGCCCGCATCAAAGTTTGGACCCGTTCAGTCCACGTTGTGCTGCTTCTCACCAACTCTCGTTCTTCACTGAGGAGACTGTAATGCAGCGGAGTATGTCCAAGGTGGTCGCGTGCAAGAGGATTCGCCTGAGCTTCTAAAAGCCTTTTGGTCATGTCGAATGTTCCGGGATAAAAGGCGGCGTAGTGCAAGGCGGTTTTGCCGAAACAGTTGGTGAGATCCGGTGACGTCTCCTCTATAAATCTTGCCAATACACTTGTCGGTGCTGAAAAAGAAGGCATTGAAAGAACTCGATACTGGCACAGGTACCTCATTAACGGAGTAAACCCGCTCGAGTTTGGGCATTGACGTTCGCCTTGTTTTGGAGAAGAAGGTCTGCTGTCTGGCTGAAGTACTCTTCGTCGGGACGCATGCGGAAAAGGAAATGTAGCGGGCTTCCGAATGGATGACCGGTTGTAATATTCACATCCGCCTTATGGCCAATGAGTATCTTGACCAACTCGAAAGACCCTGTCCAGATAGCGGCATTGAGAGGAGTATACATGTCTGAACCATGTGTTTGGGGTCTGCGCCTGCTAACAGTAGCTTACGCGTAACATCGATCAGTCCACTCTCCACTGCAAGGATGAGCGGCGTCTTGTCATGCTCATCAGATATCTTTGCGTCTACGAAAGGTCGTTTGAGATTCTCTGTAATAGGCAGGTCGCGGGTTGGATAGGGGCCCCATGTCGATTCCAGGAACTGCGTCGACGTGGGGACGTGGAACGGTTCGAATCTTCCTCGTAACGTATGTTTTGGATCCACGGATCAAGAAGCAAACTGACCATATCAGTGCTTTGTTTCCGTATCGCCATATGGAGCACATTTTGACCGAGGCGGTCGAATAAGTTAGGGTCTCCACCGTGCTGAAGCAGCAGGCGAAAGATATCTGCCCTTCCATTTTCAAGAGCGATATGCACGGGAGTATTCCAATCAAAAACCTTTCCTTCCACATTTGGACTCGCTCCTGCTTCCAACAACAGCTCCACGACCTTGATATCGCATCTTGTTGATCGCTGAGGAAGGGAGGTGAGGCAACAAGTGTTAGCCAGAATCTTCATGGGAGGGGTAGCTGTTAGGTGAGCTTGGTGAAGGTCGCGAGTCGATCGAGTTCAATCGAAGGTCGCGAGTCGTGAGCTTAAGACCCGGTGCTGCAAATGCCGTGATGAAGACGACTACTTGATTGCGATGCGATCACAGGGAAGGTCTGAGAGGGCTCATAACCTGTGGGGTCACGAACAACGAAATCAAGCGATTGTATGAGGTTGATTGAGTGTGTGTGCTATGGAGAGAGAGGAGAGACTGGCGGGTCTGGAAGGCTAGAAAGTGGTGGTCTGGGCAGGGCACGGACCCACCAACAGATCCTCTCTGTACGCAACAAGCACAGATATTTCCTTGGATGGAAACCGGATGTACGCTGCATTACGACAAAGTTTTTTTTTTATGTTACCCTGCAGACCGGAAAGGGCGAAATACGCTGTAACAGGAACAAAAAAACATGTATGTATTGAAACTCTCGATAGGTGGAAGAAGGTACCTAAGCGCCGCACTGCCCCTACTGTCAGCTGTACTGTGTTAGCTGCAACATCCCCTTCCGAAAGTGGAACCCCGCATTAACCCCCGCCGCTGAGCATCCCGCTCTGCCTCTTTCCCTGGTGCCATGGAAGGTAGCACTCCCCGTTATTAACCATCCGAGATGTGACCTCTGCTAGGAGATTGGTTGCCTTGTTTGCTCTTGCTGCCGCCGCTGTCGCTTCATTCACTGCTTCCATTGCCTTTGTGGCAGCTCTGGTTGCCGCTGCTGCCGCCTCAGCTGCCTCCTGGGCTGCCAAGAGCACCATGTGAAGCGTCGAACCGTCCACCCCGCTCGCCCTTTCCTGTAGCTTGTACGCTGATGCTGAGATATCCGCCAGAGATGTAACATTCGACGGCTGCATGTTGGGTACCTCTGATACCACCGACTCGCTGATCATCTCGTCCACCCGAACGTGTCCGGCGGGTGCAGAAACAGCCAGAGACTCGGCGCAAGCGGGAGTAAGGTCGGTCTGCGAAAAGCTGACTTTGCAGTATCTGCCAATCCGCTCCAGGAGAGTCTCCATATGTCCCAGGTCTTCTCGTTGGATGCCGGTGGCTCGGTTGCTTTCAAGCTGCCGTCTTTTGGGATCCAGCGTGATAGGGTCAATGTCTTTGTCCTCGTCGGTCAACTTGTCTGAGAAGCGGAGGAACTTTTGGCCCTTGTTCGCCCCGCTTTTGAGGCTCATCTGGCACGTGAATGGCTCGTCGTTGTTCCTTCTCAGCAAAACCGCAGCCTGCAGGAAGGTCGGAATCCCATCCTCGGCCCGGTCGTTCTCACTCATCGACCACTGCAACGCGTTTCGCCAGGTCGACTCTGGCGAAAACATTGACTCCCCAGTCAAAGTGGCCTTGCACTCCTTCGTCCACTTTGTGCAAAGTTCCCAGCTGACACCCGTTTCGGCACCGGCCAGCCCCCCTGGACCTATGTTGGCCCCGAGCGATGCCCCATAAGTTGTCGTCCTCTCGTGAGAGGTCTTGTTGAGGTGGTATTGTCTTTCCGGTGCCATCCCGACCACTTCGGGATCCTTACGCGCGATCCCATTTCCATTGCGGAAGACCAAGTCGATATCCACTGATCTGTACCGGCTTGTTTGGCGTTTGGAGTGAAAACGGAATTCCAAGATGATGAGCGTGGCCGGACAAGAATTGCCGTGGAACTTCATCATTCCATGGTGTATCTCAGTCAACTGCGCACTGTAGCTGAGCTTGGACTTTTTGTTTGGCGTCTCTGCAAAGACTGTTCGAAAGTCCTCTCCTTCCGGATTTCTCAAATGATACGAGGTGCAGTCTGCCTCCAGCGACTGATCTTCGTACAGGGCGCGGGTTATCATGAACGTCTCACCCATGGCGTAAAAGAGCGCCCGGTTTCTTCGAGAACAGCTCTTGTAAGATTCGTCGATGGTCAACCGTGAATGAATGCACAAGATGGGAAGGTAGGGGCAAATATACTGTTGAAGAAAGATGTAGGTTGGAATTTGGCTCGGAGAAAAACACACTGACGCTTCAACTTCTTATACGGGCATAATAAGGCTTCCTCTGTTGATAGCGGACACGATATGAAGATGACGAGTGCAAGCAGTGCATGTATGATACGGTATTGAGTGTCTTCGATACCTCATATTACCCAGAATACCGTCTTGACGCCCAGTGAGAAACATGTGGCGAGTTTGGCGTTCTCTCGTTGCAAGGCGCAGTCTCATGCACTCCAATGCAGGTGCCATTGGCGGGCATTTTATGCGGGCCCTGGGTGCGGAAGGCGGGCACCCGAACGGAGGCAAGGGTGCAGCTCCCAAACCTGTCGAGTAATATTCCTGTTGGTGCCTAAATGCTCAGGTGTAGAGAGGTAGATTGGGAAGGAGCACTTGAAGTTAAGTCTCAGACTCCTGACCCCTCTTCTCAACCTAGTGTAAATGTCCGCCTCAATGTCGTAGGTGAGGTGGGTACAAGTGCTGTCCACTTGTACTAGATACCGGTGTTAGCTACCCAATGTTGTGGTGAGCACATGTACCTTGTACTTTATTTTCTCATTTCCCCGCGCCCGTCCGACAGCCCGTTGAAACGGAAGGTACAACAACTCCGACATAACTACAGTACAACAACGACCCCATATCCTCTGGATGCCAACTGCAGTGATTCCATTGCTCTCCAATCCGCCTCCATTTCCGATCTGCTGTTCGTTTGGCACATTTGGTGCAGTCTTATTTCCTTCAGCCCTCACAAATCTACTCGGTCGTTCCCGACCCCCAACCTCCATCTACGGGTTTTCTTCCTTACCTTCCGCCCTATTGAAACATCGTTTCAACCCACTCCATTCGAGTTCCTACGATTCTTACAAACCACTCTTTACAGGTCCATTTTCTACACTTATTACCGAGTACCGGCTGAAGCGATTTTGAGATCGACGTTTTGTGTCTATCCCGAATCCGATGTCAATTGCAACCAAGCCTTCTGCAGTGTTCTCAAACCGCTTGCGTCTCCCATTGAACGCGGGAAGTGATCCTTCTGCCCACTTCTCTATCGAACTGCCGTCGTCCTTCTTCCTGGTACCCCCACGATGCCCGCGCCTAACAGCATCCGAACAGGCGCACCTCGACAGCGCGAAGACCATCCACCAAGGCCGCGGAAGGGCCTTCCCACTGTCAAACAAGTCCTTGAGAAGGCTAAAGAGGTGGACTTCGAGGATAAGAGCAGCCGGGTGGCATTCCTCCGGGAGTTCAAGGATCGCGTAGGCGGCGACAAAAAGGCCGAAAACGAAGTGGTCAACGGAGAAGTCTTTCACGAGTTGGCAAAAGATCCGGCCAGTTTCAGACAGTACGAGCATTTCATCAAATGGGCATTCGCGCGCAACTCCAAGCTGCTTGAGTGCAAAACAAAGCACGACGACACTCCACTCCTCCTGGCCATCGAGCATCAAAACCATGAGTTTGTCCGGCTGGTACTGGACAGAATAGATCGACTTCCAAAGCTTAGAAAGCTTCTGCAACAATCCGACCAGGTTGGCCTTAACTGTCTGCACAAAGCCATCATGTCCGCCAGCCCATTCACCGAATCCATCATTGCCATCATGCGAAAAGCTTCCACAGGCAGCTCAAAGGACGGCGAGAATACGGCAAATGATTCTGACTCAGGTTCGGAAAGCGAGGCGGAAATGACAATGCCCAAGCTGGACAAGATCAAAGACGACATATTTACCGCCAAAAGCCGCAAAAGTGATCACACTGAGGGATGGACGGCGCTCCATTTTGCAGTCCGAGTATTTGCCGCGGACCAACAGCTCACGGACAACGAAGAAGAATTCCGCGAGGCTGTGAGTCGCCGGATACTTCAACAACCCAACTCTCACCCCCAGCCTAGAAACCAGCTTGCGGGCAGTTGGAACCCAACCATTTCAGACCCATCCTCACCCCACAGCCAATCAAGCACTGGCTGCACTGGCCTGCCACTGGGTCCCAAACAAATGGAACCTGAGACTTCCTCCATAACAGGTAAAGCACCTGGGTTCTACGGATCGATGGGCACAAATGGCACACCCACCGAGGGAGATGGCAAACCAGCCTGTATACAACGACGTGACTACTGCCAGTTGACTATCGTCCGCGAACTAATTAAAGCAAATCCCAAGGCTCTTCTTACCAAGGATAAAAAAAAGCATACCCCTTTCCAGCTCCGGCTAGGATTAATGGAACAGGAAGCACAACAGGGAGAGGGAAACAACGAGCAAGCGAGGCAACCGAAGGGAGCACAACAGAGAGAAAATGACGGAGGGACAGTAAGAGACGCAGAGGAAGAGGAGGGGTTTGAGGGATTTGAAGAAGAGGAAGAGGAAGAGGAAGAGGAAGATGAAACAGCCGACGAGGAAGGAGAAGAATGGGATGAAGAGGATGAGGAGAATGAAAGTAATGGAATGGGTTCAAGCAAGGAGTTACGGAAAGACGTACAGTCTCCGCATATGTTGAGTGACGACAGTACTATGAGGGGTGCTTCCGCCCGGCAGTACGAGGATAAGCCTTCCCACGACTATGTCAAAGAGGTCCAACTAATCAACGACGATGAGGTGCTGAGTTACATCCGCGAGTATGTCATTGACAACTTCGATCGGAGAACGGCACTGAAGGCTCTGTACAAGGTGGGATGTGGTACGTCAAAACATTTCGATAATTCTGGAGTGGGTTTGAAGAATAATGAGAATCATGTCTTAGACAGAAGCTAACAATGAGCGGCATTGCTGTCTGTGATGCAGAAAGGACCATCGAATTTGATCTGTCTGGTCTGCCTTACAAGTCAATCAACAAGGACTTCTTCATCAGACTTGGCAATGTCTTACACTTCGAAGGGCGGTTGAAGTATGTTGCTTTGCCGCGGCTGACTGTCGAGAACGATGCCGATGACGCCGGTGGAATTGTGGAGGTTAATCACCAACGGCAAACCGAATCAATGGGCAGTGTGTAAGTGCTGAATGCCAACAATCTCCCCTGGCGGAAAATGCCAAGACTAACACCAAAACATCCATAGCAAACTCACTCAAAGGACCAAAGGTCTTCAGCATATGTGCACCATTTTCGATTGGCTGAAGAGGCTCCACGTCAAATCCGTCCTGAAGGTAACTGTCATGGACGATGCAGAGCTGTCCCACTCTGACGAAGCCATCGAAACCTGTATGAAGGGTCTAGATGTCAGGGTATGGAACTGGCGCCGGGTAGATCTTTGCATAGACGTCATATCGTCTTCGGCGCCGAATGTGACCGACGTTACGTTGTACTCGTCGGGGAATAACGCCGTGCTTGTTGGGTGGTCAAGCAAAGCTGGGCTGCCGAAGCTGAAGGAGGTAAGAAGTGTGATTCAAGCGCAAAGATACATCGGTTCGTAACTAACGCACTTCGGTCAGCTAAGAAAGGTCCGTATATATTTCAGGGAGGTATGTGTGCCCATTCTTCTGCTCCAGTCGGCTGTCGCTCGATGATGACAATGCGCCATTTGGCATCATATAGGTAGCTAACGCTTCGGTCTCCTGCAAACAGGGCCTCGACACTCAGGAAAGATTCAAGCAATATCAAAACACTTTCGAATCGAAACTTAAGAAACACAAACCTAGCGTAAAAGTGTCCTGGGGAATCGATACCCCCACCCAGGATCTCCCGCTCTTTGCACGCTCAAGCTCCGAAAAAGCGTCAAGGTCAGTACTTCTCGACATACCGTCCGTCCAGATACCTACTCTCAAACCTGCTCCGACTATTGAAGCCGTGGCTAACCCAAACACCGTTTCAGAGAGCCGAAATGGATGAAAACCATGAAGCAATTTGCCACGTTTCTCCGTTCCTTCAAGCCTAAAACAACAATCGCGCCGATCAAGATCGCCATAATTGACGATGGTATCGATAGCACCCTCGACGTCTTCTCTCATCGGATCCAAACCGGCGAGTCGTTCTACAAAGCTGGCTCGGGCCGCTGGCAAGGCGCATACTACGTGCCCACCGGGTACCACGGCACGCTCATGGCCCAGCTCATTTGCGACATTTGCCCCGTGGCCAGACTTTACATTGCCCAGTTGGAACCTGTGCCGAGGAACGACGGACGCCGTGGGTTCACGCAACAGAGCGCCATCGAAGCCATTAATTGGGCGGTCAACCGGGGCGTGGACATCATTTCGATGAGCTGGAGCATCGACTCGGGGAGCAGCAACATCGAAGGGCTGGACAAGGCCCTCAAAGAGGCCGTAGACAAGAAGATTGTCATGTTTTGCTCGAGCATCGATGAGGGTCCGATGGTGGATGACAACACGTATCCTGGCAGAACAGGCCATTGCATCAAGATCGGGGCGTCGACGGGAGATGGTGCAAGACTTTCTTGGGTGTCGGCGAAGAACAGCGACTTTTTGCTGCCGGGAGACGAGTCTGTCCACGTCAAGCGACAGAATGGGCAAAGCGGCAGCGGCAGCCGACGTGGTTACGCGAGCGAAGTGCCAGCGGGTGGGAGTTCAATATCAACGGCACTGGCGGCTGGCTTGGCAGGGGTTCTGATTTACTGTGATCGATTGACGCGGTCGTCAATGGCACCCAGTGAGTCAGCAATTGGGTTCAACGATCTCCAGAGCTTGGCGACCATGCGACGCGCTTTCAAAACCATGGCAGCCAAGTCGGAAGACCACAAGTTCCTGCGGGTGTGGAAGTTCGTACCCTTGCATTGGGAATCCCCCGTGAGGCCGGGGGCGGTGGTCGACAGCAGAGGTGCTAAATCGGTGAAGCACGACTTGAAATGGAACACGGATTCACACCCAAAAGATACGGAGGAGACCAGGAAAGTGCTCATGGAGTTCCTGAATAAACTGAAAGTGGAGGAGTAGTAGATGTCGTGGAATGAAAGTTGGATATCATTATACTGTGCAAGTTGTGTATCGATTACCAATCATGCCCTCGTGCCCATCGTGGGAAACGAGGGTATACCCACCAACTCGTTTCCCTCATTGTGCTTATCATCATCCCCACAACCAGACCCTTCTTCCAAACTTCATCCAGCTCACCTGAGAGCGGTAAGACACCTTGCATGAAGAGCTTTTGTTCACTTTGACCTTCGTACCTTTCACTGAGCGTGGAGAGGCGAAGGCTGCGAATGTTGCTCTCGATGGCGAGGACCAGGTTCGCGTGTGAAGGAACCATAAAAACGCACAAAGGCGCGACCGAAAGACTCCATCTCGCTGACGGGCAGGCCAAGGGCAGCATCGCCCACTTCTCCAGACTCACGGTGTGGGCAGGCATCCACTGCGAGGTCATCGATCTGTTGATCCACGACTTAGCAGAGGACAACCCCGTCATTCTGGGCCACCCATGGTTGGTACACCATGCCCCGGGCATCGACTGGCCCCGCGACTCTCTCTACTTCGGCCCCGCCTGCGAACAACGAGGCTACTTTCCGCGAGGCGCCCCAAACCACCTTCGTCACGCCCCGCTAGCGCGGAGGCATGTAATCATCGTGCCCGCCTCCTTAATTGTGGAGCACGTACAAGAGTGGCTCGCAAAAGATGACAATGTCGATTGGCTTTTGATCTTCGATAACGTTGATCTGGATCATACGCAAGGAGAAATACCGGGCGCTTATGACATTCGAAAGTATCTTCGGAGTGACCACGGCGCAGTCCTGATTACATCCCAGTTGTCCAAGCTAGCACAGCTTGGCGAATCCAAGCGCATTAAACCTGCTGACGTAGACTTGAGTAAGAAAATATTCGAGAAGTGGTACGGGAAGGAACTAAGTGAGCACCCCAGGTTACTACGAGACCCAACCCTAAAGCTGATACTAACGCGCTAATTCAGTGATGGATGATGATGCACAAGAGTTGCTAGATAAAAAATTAGGAGGTCTGCCACTTGCACTCGCGCAAGCCGCTGCATATATGAGAGAATTAGACCTACCTGTCGCTAAGTATATTCATCTGTATGAGAAGCAGTGGGATGAACCCTTCCCGAATACGGACTCCGGCCTGCTAGACTACAGTACTCGCAGCGTGTGGACGACATGGACGATATCGTTCAACGCGATCGAGACGAGGGACAAGAACGCTGGGAATCTGCTACGGCTTTGGGCTTTTCTCGACAATAGAGAGATGTGGCATAGTCTACTGCAAGTGGCCAGAAATGACCAGGAGCAGTGGCCCGAATGGCTCCGCGATATAGCAGGCAAGGAGGTCAAGTTTTTCAACATAGCGACACTGCTGCTCCGCTACTCTATGATCGAAGTCCGAGAGTCCGAGCAAAGCAGCTATAGCATGCATCCGGTAGTGCATAGATGGATATCGCATATACAAGATGACGCTGGGAAGAGAGAGTTTCTACGGCTAGCGGTAATATTGATAGGATTTTCGGTGCCCCACCGTACGACTAAGAATTATTGGGTACTCCAGCGACGGCTTCTCCCTCATACGGAGAGGTTCTTATGGTGGATGGGAAAATTAGAAGGAGGAGAGTGCAACAATGAAGACATTACCATCGGTCATGCAACACATAGCTTGGGCCACCTCTATGAGACTCAGGGCCGGCTAAAGGAGGCTGAAACGATGTATCAACGAGCGCTAGAAGGCAAGGAGAAGACGCTCGGACCGGATCATACGTCGACTCTCAGTACAGTTAACAACTTGGGCAACCTCTACTCGGATCAGGGCCGGCTGAAGGAGGCTGAAACGATGTATCAGCGAGCGCTAGAAGGCAAGGAGAAGGCACTCGGACCGGATCATACGTCGACTCTTGGTACAGTTTACAACTTGGGCCTTCTCTACTCGGATCAGGGCCGGCTAAAGGAGGCTGAAGTGATGTATCAGCGAGCGCTGTCTGGTTATTCAGTAGTATCACGAACTTAAGTGAGTTCGCGGGATAACCAGGCCCCCGGGAACACAAGCTGCCGAAAGAGGCTAGGCTGTACGACCATGGGCCAGGGTAGGCTCACGAACGAGTCAGGCTCACGAGGTGAGCCAGACTCGCAAATAACAAGAGTGAGCCGCGACTATGATGGTGAGCCAGGCTCACCAAGCCCCGGAGAAGCATCGGGAGCATGCAGTATAAAGGCACGACTAGAGAACTCAAATTGTCAGATAGTTCGATAGTAGTCAATTGATCATTATCACCGAGACCAGTATAAGGCTACTATACTTGTTGTGAACCTTTTGGCTTCACCGAACGTCTTCTGATAGTATCAACCTTCAGCTATCCTACTTAGGCAGATTAGACTGCCGTTCGTTACAAGTAGCCTTAGGCTCGTCCCACGCGAAATCTCTCCTTATCGTAAAGAATATAGCATCTTTACAACTTGCAAAAGGTAGCCTCTCCCTGCAACTAATAGTTAAGTTTGCTAACATTTACAACTAGGTTCATCATCAGAAATCGAATCGTCGTTCAATTATTCTTCGACAGATGAAATTACCTCCACGATAGTTGAAGCTCTGCTTCAATTAGGTTCATCAGCCGCAACTAAGACGTCGTTGTGGAGGAGGCGCTCAAAAATTTGGAATAACTTACGAGATAAGATACGCAGAACCCCTACGAGAACTACGCCATCTGAATCGACGGAAGGCTGAACATAAAGTTGGAAATTGCGTTGTGGTAAGGTGACTTAGCTGTTACGCAATGTAGTGACTTTACAAGTTCCTGCAACAAGTAGCCAAGGATCTGTTTCGGGTTTGTGAAGGTTGACGATGAGGCAGCAGGATAATGTATGCCTAGCCCACCTCATGGCCTCAGCTGGGCTTGGCGAGAGCGCGGTGATGGAAACGGTTCGAGAAACGGCGGCGTTTTTGCCCAAGTCACCCAAACCCCTGTAAAAAACTACTCCCATAGATAAGCTACCGATATGTCTGCTTATCTATGGGAGCGGGAAGGACAGGAAACGGGTCTTTTAATCACGTGGTAGGGTCAAAAAACTGAACCACCAGCTCCCATATCCATATCGTTCGGACGGAGGCAAGACGGTAAGTGGGGAGCCGGCGCTAAAAAGATGAATATAATTGGGCGGATTACGAGAAAAGTTGACCGTCCCGACACTGTGGCTAGATTGCACTCGGTCAGTAGACGAGTCGATTGGCTGAGAGAGCTGCATGCCAGGGCTGCGGAACAAGGTGACGGCGGCGTTGAGAGCGACAAGGCAACCACAGCTCTAGGATCAGAAGCCGGCAGCTAGGGTGGGATGGCTTTAAGCCTGGGCGGGGGCCCGTGTCAGCACCCCCGCCCCCTAGCATACTTGCATGGGGCTTGGCTCGAAGCGAGGCTGGAAGCCTTGATATCAAACAAACGCTACCCGAAGTGAACCCTCTGGTTGCCTTTTTGGCATGTCCTCCATTGCAACATCAAAGCTGCATTTGATCCTTGAAAGACGAAACGTTGATGTGGCACGCTGACATCAGGCTTGATTTACAGGACGTCGCCAATCCTACGAGAGAGAAGAGAATGTGTTGCGCCTTTCTGAGGCAGTGAAATAAACTTTTGATAGCCGCCATTGTCTGGCTTTGGCGAGCATTGGCAGTAAAAATGAGGAGAAGGAGTAGTCGGGACCAACGCCGAATGACTTTGCGAGGCTGTCAGTCTCTCGTGTCCTGGCGCTTGAATTCACTGCACGCAATAACCAGACGATGCTCCAATAGGCTGCGGTACCTGGTTGGGATTGAATCCAGTTGATTGATTTGATCCCGCATTTTATACATACAGGCCAGCTGGCGAGGTGCCATGATAATAGATGAGGGAAGATAGAGAGAGGAAGAGCAAGTTAGAGGAAGAGGGAGGAAGAGGGAGGAAGAAGATAGGGGGTTGAAGGCAGGGGATGCAAGGGTAAGGTTCGGGAGGCTTTGAGCGGACAGGTGCCGTAGGGGGTTACCCTATTATCTCTTCCAGTCCTTGGGAGCTCGAAGGAGACGGATAAAGGCATAAGAATAGACAGAGAGAGACAGAAAAGAGGCTTTCGTAGCGTAATAAACCCTGGTCATTGTCAGTAATTACAAACGAAGACCAGCTTGACTCCGACATGGAGGAAGGTGACCGGACCTTGGAGGGTTAAGATCAGAGGAGGATTGGAAACCATAACGCCGCATAACGAACGATGTTCGGTGTCACGTGTGAAAGCGTGATCCTACAAGTGATAAGACAACAAGACTAGAAGCCACAAATCAAAGTAATATTAAGTGTAAGGAGGAAAAGGAAGCTGTCAAACGAGGGCATCACGGTTCTGGACATATAAGTCAGAACTGCCACTCGTTCCCGCCTTCCCTTTCCGTACGGTCTTATCGATAAGAACATGAGCCTCATTCCATCCGATGTGCTCTGGTAACCTGTCCAGCTATGCCATGACATCACGGCACTGGCGGATGGGTCCCGGCACGTGATGTCGTGCCGCGTGCACCGGCCACCTGGGCCCTAGGTTGAAACCCTGGGCGCCAGGCGCGCCTTTGCACGTTTCCCTCTTTTTCCTCTTTATCTTGTGATTCTACTATAGACATGGAATCAACGTGTTCAGCTTTGTCTCTCGTGACCACGTCGCTCGTGACATTTGGGAAAAGCTGAAAAGCTGAGCCCTACCCGCGCCACGGCCCCATAAGTGGTGCAAGCTACCAGGCCGCTACTGGTACACTATTGCCAACCCTGTAGACCCCGTGACAGAAAGCCACGACCCTCGCCTAAGTCGAGTTATTGATTGGCGCCCTGAAGTCTCTAGGTCCAGAATGCCCGACCTCTAGAAAAGAAATGTCCTTTGGTGCCTGACATGGTGAACCAGAAACAGACTCAACACGACTCCTCATGCTCCACCATAGCCTTGAGAAAACATAGTGCTCAAGTTTCTTTTTATTTTGTCCTTAGGGGCAGGATAGAAGAATCTGCAGCATTTTTACAAATTCAATCCATTGATCGTCAACCGTATAACATTCGCTGCCTCTAGGACAACACGGTCATTCTCGAGTGCCTCATCTACGTCGCCTCGCTCAAGACCTTCGTTCCCTAAAGCTACGATGTCTCAACGACTGCACAATACGGAGGGTTGGGAAGATGATAAGGGCCAAGAGCAGTCTCGCCCTGCACCTTTGCAACAAATCCCCGCCGCCACCGCTATGTCCGCTACCCATATGCCCGCCCCCGCGCTCCCAGCCGCTCCAGCTACCGGTTCCGCCGATACAGAGACGTCTGCCGGCGTCCAAAGCCCGAAGCAGGTGGAAGTAGGCTTACTCCTTTTCCCCCTACGACATTTCAGAATAATGCTAACACCTGTAAAGAATCTGTATTACAACGTTCCTATGTCACGTGGCCATATTCGCTTGCTTCAAATATTGCCGCATGAAAACGAGGACGCCGCAATACACTGTCGGCTCTTCTGCACTGCATTGGACTCGAAAGGCACTCGTCCATACGAGGCCTTATCCTACGTATGGGGCTCTGAGGACAAGCGTTGTTCCATCTTTATAAACGGGTGCAACTTAGCCGTTGGGGAAAACCTTTACGCAGCGCTGTTACATCTTCGAGACCATTGCATTGAACGAACAATATGGATAGATGCCATTTGCATCAACCAAGGAGACAACGAAGAAAAAGGACACCAAGTTCAATCTATGGCGAAGATCTACGCTAAAGCAAGTCGCGTAATTGTTTGGCTTGGAGAGGAGGCAGCCGGTAGCGACCAAGCGCTCGAAGAAATACGCATCGCAGCCGAGCTGTCTACAGGACGATTAGACACCGAGCTGTCTACAGGACGATTAGACACCGAGCTGTCTACAAGACCATTAGACAATAAAGCGGGAATCCTTACACTACTTCAACGACCGTGGTTTCGGCGCATCTGGGTAAGGGAACCGATGTCAAACTATTATGACTAAGGAAACTGACAGATTGATGCAGGTGCTTCAGGAAGTTGCCGCGGCTCGCCATATCCTGATTAAGTGTGGTTCTACTGAGGTTGACGGATTTGCATTCTGCTCAGGCCTAAATGTATTGAACTTGTTCAATGAACTCTCCGCAGACCTGCGGGCTCGAATCCTTTCGGTAACCTACCTTATAAGGGGCGCAATCTTCCGGCCCAAATACGCGACCAGTCAGTCAGACAACTTTTCTCTTGACATACGCCCTCTGGGTGAACTGATAGAGATGTACCACACCCGCGAAGCTACGGATCGTCGCGATAAAGTATATGCCTTACTCGGTATGAGCTCTGATAATCCAACCGCAGCAGGATTATTCGCCGACTACCAGATTTCGTGGAAACAACTCTTCAACAAACTCATCCACTTCTTCCTATCTGAATTGGTCTCTGTAGACATTTCGGACGATAAGGAGATTGCCGTCATTGAGGGCAAGGGCTGCATTCTTGGCGAAGTGTCCTCGGTCAAGAGAAATGCTACTTGGGAAGACAGACAAGATATGGCCATTACTTGGACTAATGCTCCCAGCTATATTTACGTGAAGGAAGCATGGGGTTCTTGCTGGACCCTCCCGATCACAGTAAAATCCGTCCAAAAAGGAGATGTCGTTTGCCTTCTTCAAGGAGCGTCGAGACCCACGATCCTCAGGCCATACAACGATCACTGGGCGGTTATAATGATTGCAGTTTCCCCAGCAGGCGATTCACAAGCTACGACCGGAGATATTAAGTGGTTAGAACTTTTACCATCGATAATAGTCTTTCCACACAATTTTCTACTTATCTGGGATTGGGATATGGATTCAAACAAGCAGCAAGATAAAAACAACCACGACTACTTTGCAAGCATTCCAGTACCAAAGCATTCAAAGACATGGTTGGAAGGTTGTCTAAATGCGGCGACTAGGATACGGAATGTCAGATTGGTATTACAAGAGGTGAAACAGTATGGAGTTGCAGTGAAGAATTTTCGGGAAGAAACGGCGGTTCTTGACAGGGTATTGAGGAGTATGAGCAACTTAAAAAAGACTTGCCTAGGTCCCAAGGATTCAGAAAAGGAAGATGCAAAGGAAATAATGGTAAATCAACTTATTGAGGACAAGGGCCAATGGACGCTTCTATGTTTGGCGGCAGGAAACGGGCATGAGACGGTCGTAAAATTGCTTCTCGACACCGGCAAGGTCAACTTGCATAGGGAGGAGCTACGGACAGCGCTGTGGCTTGCGGAGCAAAAAGGCTATAAAGCGATCGTTAAGATGCTTCTCGATACTGGCAAGGTTGACGCAGGTGCTAAGGATGAGAATGGACAGACAGCGCTGCATCGAGCGGCAATAACTGGGCATGAGGTAGTCGTTCAGTTACTTCTCGATACCGGCAAGGTTAACGCAAGTACTCAAAACCGGGATAAACGGACAACGCTACATATGGCGGCGAAGAATGGGCATGAGGCGGTTGTTCAGCTACTTCTCGATATTGGCAAGGTTGACGCAGATGCTCAGGACGGGGATGAACGGACAGCGCTGCATATGGCGGCAGAGAATGGGCACGAGGCGGTTATTAAGCTGCTTCTCGATACTGGCAAGGTTGACGCAGATGCTAAGGACCGGGATGAACGGACAGCGCTGCATATAGCGGCGAAGAATGGGCATAAGGCGGTTGTTAAGCTGCTTCTCGATACTGGCAAGGTTGACGCAGGTGCTAAGGATAAGAATGGACGGACAGCGCTGCATTGGGCGGCAGAGGATGGGCATGAGGCGGTTGTTAAGTTGCTTGTTGATACTGGCAAGGTTGACGCAAATACTCAGAACTGGTATAAACAGACAGCGCTACATTGGGCGGCGAAGAATGGGCATGAGGCGGTTGTTAAGCTGCTTCTCGATACTGGCAAGGTTGACGCAGGTGCTAAGGACCGGGATGAACGGACAGCGCTGCATTGGGCGGCAGAGAATGGGCATGAGGCGGTTGTTAAGCTGCTTCTCAATACTGGCAAGGTTGACGCAGATGCTCAGGATAGGGATGGATGGACAGCGCTGCATATAGCGGCGAAGAATGGGCATGAGGCGGTTGTTAAACTGCTTCTCGATACTGGCAAGGTTGACGCAGATGCTCAGGACTGGTATAAACGGACAGCGCTGCATAGGGCGGCAGGGAATGGGCATGAGGCGGTTGTTAAGCTGCTTCTCGATACTGGCAAGGTTGACGCAGGTGCTAAGGACTGGTATGAACGGACAGCGCTGCATATGGCGGCAGAGAATGGGCACGAGGCGGCTATTAAGCTGCTTCTCGATACTGGCAAGGTTGACGCAGATCCTAAGGATCGGGATGGATGGACAGCGCTGGATATGGCGGCGAAGAATGGGCATGAGGCGGTTGTTAAGCTGCTTCTCGTTATTGGCAAGGTTAACGCAGATCTTAAGAACCAGGATGGACGGACAGCGCTATATATGGCGGCAGAGAATGGGCATGAGGCGGTTGTTAAGCTGCTTCTTGATACTGGCAAGGTTGACGCAGGTGCTAAGGACCGGTATGAATGGACAGCGCTGCATTGGGCGGCGAAGAATGGGCATGAGGCGGTTGTTAAACTGCTTCTCGATACTGGCAAGGTTGACGCAGGTGCTAAGGACTGGTATGAACGGACAGCGCTGCATTGGGCGGCGAAGAATGGGCATGAGGCGGTTGTTAAGCTGCTTCTCGATACTGGCAAGGTTGACGCAGGTGCTAAGGACCGGTATGAATGGACAGCGCTGCATATGGCGGCAGAGAATAGGCGTAAAGCGGTTATTAAGCTGCTTCTCGATACTGGCAAGGTTGACGCAGATCCTAAGGATTGGGATGGATGGGCAGCGCTGGATATGGCGGCGAAGAATGGGCATGAGGCGGTTGTTAAGTTGCTTCTCGATACTGGCAAGGTTGACGCAAATGTTCAAACTTGGGCTGGACGGACAGCGCTGCATATGGCGGCAGAGAATGGGCATAAGGCGGTTGTTAAGCTGCTTCTCGATACTGGCAAGGTTGACGCAGGTGCTAAGGACCGGTATGAATGGACAGCGCTGCATATGGCAGCAGAGAAGGGGCATGAGGCGGTTGTTAAGTTGCTTCTCGATACTGGCAAGGTTGACGCAAATGTTCAAACTTGGACTGGACGGACAGCGCTGGATATGGCGGCAGAGAATGGGCATGAGGCGGTTGTTAAGCTGCTTCTCGATACTGGCAAGGTTGACGCAGGTGCTAAGGATCGGGATGGATGGACAGCGCTGGAGGGACTGCAATGGCAATATCACGCAGAATGTATTTGCAGCAGTCAAAAGTAACAGAACCTTCTCGTATATTCTAGCAGGCGCGGATAGTTCTAGCAACAATGCCTCGCTTTGTGCTCAAGCTTTCGGTCGATCTTTTCGGGTCCCAGATGGTCGATATTATGTCGTGGATGCGGGGTTTGACGTGTAGCAGGGAATCGTGGATTTGCAAGACTGGAGGAATGAAGAAAGGAGGCCTCGCCGTGCGAGGAGCCCACCCTGAAGAAGTACCAAGTTGAAGAAATTACAGAAGTTGACTCTTCCCTTTCAGAATCTTTTGTCAATGACAATCTTCCCCGAGTTGGTCGTACCGCAGATGTTGAGTATCTTTCTCCTTTGGAATCTTCTTACGCTAGTACAATTCGGAACGGTTCTCAGACACTTAGACACGCTCAATCTTTCAGCAATAGATGGCGAGGACCATTGCGATGGTGAGCCTCTTCCGAGAATTCTAGCCACGGCTATAATCGATACTATCTCAACGGAATGACGCGCCGCCCGGCCCTTCCACGCTCCTGGGCAAAACTTCCTCTCGGTGCTCGGCGGTGCTATGACTGGTCGGTTCAAATGCATTATACGATGGTCACCTGCGTTTTGGTTCTATTGGTTAGGACCATCCAAAGTTATTTACCCTTGGCACTTGACAGGTCATACAATCGTAGGCCTTCTGCGTGATTCCTTGTTTTACTTCCTCCCCTAGAATCTTCAGTCATTAATGGATTCGACTACCTCGCAATGAGCATTCGGGTTGACCTGTTTACAAAGCTGCAGGCGTTTACTGGCGGGGTTTAGCGTTTGGGCTAGAACGTTTATTGGCGGGCATTAGATTTTACCGAGCGACGAATAGTCAGACCAATGAAGTAGGGCAAGGCAGGCAGACGAAGGAGGCAGGCTAATGCAGGCAGGTTACGGCAGGAAGATGAAGGAGGTAGGTTAAAGCAGACAAGTGAAAAGTCGGGCACGTGCATACTCTAAGAAGCTCTGGATAATGATCGACCCGAATGATACCACCAAATTTGAAAGGATGCTTGCGACCAAATGGGCGCTCTACAAATGCGACCAGTCTGTACAGCATCTGGATATCATGGTAAGTCCAAAGAGGCTACTAGAAGAAGAAATCAGATTCGATATTATTCGCGCTGGCCCCGGCAACCTGGTTATAACACGACCACGACAATATCACGCAGTTATCAATCAAATCCCGTCTCTTGCTATAGCAACCAATTTCACTTTGCTTAGTGAAGAAGCAATTCCGCGTGGATGGGTTGTTTGTCCAAAAGACGGGTTCTACGGTCTGTCTCATGGCAACCTCAAAAAGCTTTCCCATGGGCCCCTCACACTGAGCCAACGACGTGGTTATGGCCTTCTAAGGTCTGGAGGCATGCATTCTAATCCAATTCTACAGCCGGCTTAGTTCGAATCCATTCAGGTTCTTCTGCTTTGAAATTGCTCTTTATTAAGCTGCTGGACGGAGCAAACACGAGCGCTGATATATAAGCTTGAAGTGGAGCTTGCTCAATTATCCATCTATAAGATAGAATAAATAGGTGAGCATCCCGAACAAGTTTTGTTAACTGCCACTGATCATTGCCTCCATATATCTTTAAGTTAGATCGAGTTTCCGGTGCGCAGTTAGTCTCATACTTACTAGTAGGCTCTCGAGCTGTCTAATGGTGTTGACGCTCTCAGACATAGCTTGGAGTAGACTTAGAGCTTCGAGCCAGTAAAGGTACTTCGTCTTGAGGAATGTATAGATAGCCTCATCCCATAAAAGATGCCGTTTTGTGTTCGTGCTAGAAACCGAGTCACACAAGTGATCAACCTAGTAGACGCACGAGTACCGCACCGTCGCTAGCGGGTCCGGATTCGGTTCTTGGACCTTGTCGCTCGGAAATCTCGGTGCGCTTAAGTCGTATATATCGCGTCGCAATACTGTAGACATAGCTTTAAGTGACCTCAAGAAGATAGTATAATTCACATCTTCTTTCCCAGAAGGAAAGATCCAGTACTCCTGAGAAGCTTGGTGTCACACGGACATCGCCCACAGTCCAGGGTCAGGGTCGCAAGGCTCAGCAGAGCCTCAACGCCTGGCATTAGCCTCGAGATGCCCGGTGGCCTCCGGCCGCAACACTCACCTCGGCCGGACCCTCGGCCACTGGCACTGCTTGCCCGAACCCCTTTCGATACCATCGGGCTAGCGAGCCAACTATGGAAGCGCCGAAGACGCTGATGAAACACCATGAAACAATCCCAGTCATCCCAGAAGCAACCACAGCCAACCAAGCAAGAAGCAGGGCGCCCGGATGAAGGACAGTGTGACGAACCGTTACAAGCACAGGAGTATATCGCTGGGAATAAGAACAACGGTAGTAGTAGCCAAAAGGTACTGGTCGATTGTAAAAGCTATTGCTTGCTGAAGAGCCAGAATAACAAGGGCCGGGAAGCGGCCCTCTTATATACTGGTCTTCGAACTCGTCCCGTAGTCCCGTAATCTCGGGACTCCGGGACCGTGGGGCGGTGTCCCGTAGTCCCGTATTCTCGGGACTTCGGGACCCTAGGTTCGGGCTATATTTTATTGGTTAATCCATCTAGCTTACATAAGGGTTTTCTGATTGGATCGTAACAGACAGCACCAGAAGGAAGATGAAGAATGGATGAAGGCATTCAGGAAGATCCACATGTATGCAGACTGCTAGATAGATGCCTTGAAGCCTCAGGCGACAAGGCTTGATACGTACCTCAAGTACGTACCGATTCCCTTTGGCATAAGAAGGCCTTGAAGCCCCAGCGACTCAAGGAGGCCAGGAAGGCAGACTCAGTGTACATGGAGCAGTTCAGCAAGGAAGAACCTCCCAAAAGCCAACCACGCCTCCCAAAAGCCAACCACACCTCCCAGTTAGAAGTACTAAGTATATAGAGTAGGTGTCAGGGGTAAATGGCAGGGGTAAGTACCTTGTGTAGTGTATGCCTAGCCCACTCAGCTGGGCTTGACGGAAGTGGAACGGTGCACTCGATGGCGAAGGCAATGGAAAACGGTTCTACAAACGGCGGCGGCGTTTTTGGCTGAGTCATCCAAACCCCTGTTAAAAACTACAAAAAATGACTCCCATAGACAAGCCACCGATTGGTGGCTTATCTATGGGAGAGCGGACGGGATCCCGAGTTTTCCACCATCTATAGTCGTATATGCTTATCGAGGTCTGATTGAGGACTTATATGTTTGGTATACAACTTGGTTTGGTGATGTGAGCAAGATGGGAGGTAGGGAGGCATCATGTATGCTGGTGAATAATGGGCATTGGCCGAGTTTACACATTTACCAACCGAACGTCCAGACACCAATATTTTGCTGCTGCTCATGGTTTATTTTCTCCTTTGCATTTCGTGTGATTGGCCTCTCATAGTTTAGCTAGAAATACCTACCAACAATATAGCTGAGCATGAGATCTAGGCAACCCTCGTTTGACCCATCGCTGCCCTTCTTCCTACCAAAGATGGGTTCGCACACAGACACAATCAGCGCACGAAAATATCATATAGGGCGAAACCCAAGTTATAAAAATTTTGTTTCTCATGTGTATTTCTAGCAGCGTACGACGCGTATCATATGACGCGACCTTGACGCTCGATCCATGCTCCTCGCGTATATTTCTCAGGAGAGATGAAGAGAGGAAGAGAGGAAGAGAAAAAGAATAGAAGACGAAGCCCATCCACAATCAACCACCCAACCAAACCGGCCATCCGCTGTCCATGATCCTGTCCGTCGCTTTATCTACACCGACGACTAGAGCGGATATTTAGGAACGTAAAAAACGCCAATATAATTTTTACCTGATAAAAGTTGGCTCCAACTCCCGTGAAACCATGTGCCCCAAACGGCCCATATTTTGTTTTGGTGTCAAGACTGCCCAGCCCTCTCGCCCCTTCTAGCCTTCTATAACCCCAAAGCAACCATATCCCCTCCGCGCACTATCCGCTTGATCCAAGCCTTAGTCAATTAGATGCCCTATACCCCGAGGCTTCGACTTGGGCGAGATAGCAAGTGTGATCTCCCGCCCCAAGCCCGGTGCTCCCGACTGGCTTGAGCCGACACTGGGTGTCCTAGACCTGCTTCTCGTCGTCATGGTTGGGCGAGGAACCTTCACCGCCGTTGGCCGCAGGGACGGAAGCACCGTGGGCACGTCCTTGTCAAAATCGCGAGGCGGCGAGGACAGATCCGAAGAAGTATCCGGGTCAAAAGGAATCTGCTTCGCGTTTTCCTTCCCAGGAGCGGCCACGGCCTTTGTGGCCTTAAACGTCCGGTTGATAGCGTTCTGGGGTTTAACAACCTCCTTCTTCTTCGTCTGCCGCGACTTGCGCTGAGGAGCAGAGCCAGGCAAAGGTTTGCGCCCAGTAATAATCGCGGTGCTGGCAGGGGTCGTCTCCTTGGAGGAAGTGGTTTTGCCAAAGGTAAGAATGCTCTGCTTCGCTGTGGTCTTGGTCGTTGGTTTCCGCGCAGGAAGCGTGGCACGAGGCTTGGGGCTCGCGCTTGGTGTCGGGATCCCGCCTTGTTTTTGTGCCAGCACCTTCGCGAGCGGCTTTTCGTCCTCGTCGTCTGACAAAGGAGACTTGCGCTTGCGCTGAAGCAGTACGTCAATCCTGCTCTTGCTAAGCGTGACCTCCAACCTCTTTTCCTTCTTCTCATCCACCAGCCATGTCGTAGGATCTCCTATATCCTGCTGATCCCACCTTGGTAGATTCACCAGCTCAGCTACATCGTTGCATTTCCCCTTGATGACGTAGTCCCAGCAGTCTTTGAATTCCGCTCCTTGAGGCTCTGGGTCAATGTTAATCCAGGCTGTAATACCATCCCGCCTGCTCCTGGTCAGCTGGCACATCTCCTTGACGAGCCTTCGAACGCCAGGAATCTTGAGAGTTGTGCCGACGACGATAACTGCGTCGGGAACCCTCTTCAAGTCTGCCTTTGAGACGTTTCCGATAGCCTCTTCATCGGGGTTGTACTCGTTGTACAAGACAATTCTGGGCCGCAGCCTGCCAATACCGTGACTCCGTTTTCCGGCAAATGTCGTCCGTACCTCATCCTGTTCCTTGCACTTTGCGCAAAGAGGAGCTTCAGAGCCTTCGAAAAGCTCGGCGTTGAAGGGCTCCAGGTGGCTGCACTTTGTGCAGACCATCTTTTCCAACCCACCGTGCAGTTGGACGGTAACCGGCCATGGACCCTTGGCGTTCAGAGGTACGTTGGTGGCTAACGGCGGCATCTGGGTGTCTAGCGTATCTATGTTTTGAGTGTAGAGTCGTAGTAGTCGTCCCTCCTCAGCCATGGAGGCTAGCATGTGGTGAAATGGTGTGGGCTTCGCTTGTGACGTCAATTGCGCCAGTTCGCGCACCATGGTGTGGAAGGACTCGGTAGAGTCATCGTGCTTGTACACAGACGCGTCGAAAAGGTGTTTTCCGGACGCCTTTAGCTTGTGCTGACCGCGTAGCGTCGCGAAGAGGCCGGTTGACGAGCGGAAATCGGGAACTAAAAAGCGCGTCAGCAAGGTTTTCGAGGAAAATGGCGCGTCATGGGCTGTAAGAGGTAAGGGAAAGTTGAAAAAAGGGGTAAGGGTCGACATACTCCCAGCCGAGACGGATATGCCAGCACCGGCAATGACGACAATCTTTTTTTTCCTCCGCAGAGCCGTCAATAACCTGTCGAGGTTCTCATCGGCCTCTTCCACTCGATTTTCAAGGTCGATACGGTCTGTCGTACGGGGCCTTGGCGGTGCGGCGGTGCGCCGCCGCTTCATCGGAGGAGGACCATCTGTGCGGACCTGGATTTCCTGGGCCGAATCTGAATCGGGCGCCTTCATGGGGGAAGCGCTGCCAGAGGGTATCGAACTGGAACTAGGAGAGGGATAGCGGTTCGAGGCATCGAGCAGCAAAGGCGTGGGAGGTAGGGAAGGCGACTGAGAGAGAACTGAGAGCGGAGAGGAGGGAAGAGAGCCAGACGAGTCGGAGTCGGACGGTTTCGGTCGCAGGCAGTCCATAGCTGCTGCCTTTTTATGCGCGTGTCCCGCTGCAGGCTCAATTGCTGCTACTTGTTCTCCAGCTGCCCTGCAGTGTCTGAGCATGACTAGTTTAGGTTTGCTGTTCGCGATGCTATGTCATGGCCGAATTGGGGAGGACAAAGGAGAGCCAGCTGGGCGGCTTGGTAAAGTCGTTGTCGTATGTCGTAAAGGGTGAGTTCAAGTTGAGGTCCTGCAACTTGGGAAAGAGCCCCGGAATGGTTGTTAAGAATAAGAAGTCGCACTTGTGCCGGCTGCAGTGGCAGACAGACACCTTCCTTAGAGAAAGAAGGTTCAATGGTGAGTTCCTGCGAAGGTCGCGGTTTGCGCAAGTATCCACCTGCACACTAAAAGTCCTTGGCTGCTGTTGGTGAATGGATGTTCTATGCAGACGGTAGGTCATCGGAGCAGCCCAAGCGCGAGGAACGGGCAGATGGGAAAAGTACGATTACAGATTGCGGGCAGGCTTGCATGTGCGCAAGGAGATTCTAGCGTGCAACACGATTGGACACTGAGTGAAACTGGGACTCTGGGACAGGTTGGCAACAGAGCTGGAATCCAGCCTTATTCATTCAGAGAATGTGCGAGAGACAAAGACATCAACAGCTGTTGGTTGGGTAACGACGACTTTCACAAAGTATTATTGAAGAATGCTTCACTTCCATTGCCAGATAGGTACATGGTCCATCTCCACCGCGAGCACAGAAATCTGGTTTATTTTGGTTGATCGCAGCAGACAAGGCATGGCGGGATTGAGGAAAGTATAATAGGAGATCTGTTTGGACATGGGAGACTCCAAAGCCAACCCAACCAACATGCAAGGTACCTCATGTTATAGACAAAGTACCTTCTACATTGGTCACTAAAGAACATCGTGTTTGGGCTTCCATTGCAATTTCACACTTGGCCCAAGAAGGTGCAAGATAATGCATAGGAAGAAAGTATTCAACCATCGACTGCAAGACTTCTTACTTTGGTGAGACTTCAGGCGAAGAGAACAAGGCGGCTCCACACAACAACAAAGGAACGAAGTTCTTGTCACTGGCTCACTGCACGGTTGCCGGGAAACACAATCAACGGGGCGGACCCACCTGCAGCTCTTAGTGCCGCCCTCCCGCCCCACGGACCACGGATCCAGGGACCACGCTACCTTACCTTACCTTAACAACTCCTGGAGACAGCCCTCAGACGGGCTGCGAAGCCCGAGAGCGCAAGCCACACGTGGCTAGAGAGAGCTTGTCCATGTTAACGAACGGCAGGCCTTGCGAGGCGTTACAGTGTATACTGTAATGTGACTGCATCGTACTTGTCGCGAGCTGTCGCGATCACCGAAATGACTGGAGAGCTTCGTTCGGCAACGACACTGCAGCTTTGTTTCTGTTACCTCTAAGCTTCTAACCTCAGTTTCTCTCAACGACCTCAACTGTGTTAAGGCCAAGTCCGTCCCATTTTGGATAGTTCAATTACATTTCGTCTCGTTCAGAAAATCAAAGATTTTTTGGGCATTCAGGGGATCACAGATATCGTTTGCTACATACCTATACTTGTACAGCATCCGTTGGCCAGCTGTTGTCACAGTTCCTGCAAACTGCACATACAAACGCCATCCACCTCAACTTGAAGTTCTCGACCAGCACCAAGTCTCTTTTCATCTGCAGTCTCGGGTTTTCAAAACCCGACCCGGTCGGAATTGCGTCGGCACGACTAGACTACAGTATATAAACGGCCATTTATCCATAATTCTATACGGCGCTTCTCATCCTCATCGCCGCCTCTCATTCTTGGAGACGTCCCAACTCGTACGACTTTGCATCACCGTCTGCCTCTTAGCACACAAGTCTTTTACTGTTGGACATCGGATTTGGCGCGAGGGTATGGTCCACGGTGACCACGGCAAGCTTGGCGAGTCAAGAGAGTCAAGAGACTCCCGGGGTACATAAGCCCCCAAGCCTGGAAAGCTCACAGCAATGATCGGCCACGACATACCCATCCAGCTCCTGGATGGAGGCTCCATCGACGCCCAACACCATGATCAGATGAACGCCATGGATACGGCCATGAACCTCGACGATGTTGATGTTGATCTCTTTGGCGATTCTGTCATGGTGGACACCGCCTTGGATGGCCTGTCTGCCTCGAGGCCGATGCCGTCCAAGCACCTACGCCAACGGCTGGATGATCTGAGAACCCATGGTTGCCATCAGGCCATCGCATGGTCACGACAGGGTACCATTGCCTCCATCACCAAGGATGGCCGCTCGGTCGAGTTTCGCTTCCTGAGGTGCCGTCCAGAGGATGCCGGCTGGGAGTTGAGCGAACCATACCTTTATAGTACTGCCATTATCCCTATGCATACTACGGCTGGTCCTATTGTTCATCTGGCCTGGTCCACCACCCAGACTCCCGAGCTCGCCGTCGTTGACGCTGTCGGCCGCATCACCATTCTCAGCCTCACCATCCTGCTAAACCGCCCCTTCATAACCCGCAAGTGGGATGCCGACCCTGTCGACGACCTTCATGCCGTTGTCGGTTGTTACTGGCTCCCTTTGCTCAACCCAAGACAGTTTGGCGTCATGTACGGGCCTGCAGTATGGGTGCAGTCCGAAGATGCTAAAGCCCTGGGCGATGGGCTGTACAAGTACGAGAATTCGTACACAAAGACTACGGGCCCTAACCATCCTAATCATAACAAAAGTGCCTTGGTCTCCATCACCACAAACGGTCTTCTCAGATTGATGTTCCAGAACAACAACGCTCGCCTCGAGGAGACTGCTATTGAGCTAGAAAGCATCACTTCCTCGGACGATCTAATTACCCATGCCGCTCTTTGCAACGACAGGAATACTCTCTTGATCGCCCTTGCTACAGCCTCCAAGCAATTGCGCATTGTCAGAGCCATGATCTCATGGGGAACTGACAAGCCTTCCGAGAAGCAGGCACATCCACAAAGTATAACAGCATCTATCCTAGAACAACATGTGGCGGTTGCACCCTGGCTCCAGCACGATTCGAAAGATCCAGTGCTGGATGAATCCATGTCTCAGTTGTCCCATATCGAATTCCTCCCATCTATTCCCAAAGACAAGAACCTACAGGCACATTATAACCCAGTTGTTCTCACGGTACGCTCTCACTTGCCAGCTGAAGGCGCTTCTCTGTACGACCAAGAACCTACTAGTGTGATCGATAGGTGGGAAGTCGTGAGCGAGCAGCCACAGACTTTACACCCGGCCTTTGCCCAACTGAACACCGGAAACAGTACGACAAATCCCAATGTAAGGCTTCTTGAACCACTACACCATCACGCTATAAGCCGCTAACCTTACATACAGCCCATGACCCGCCTACGTAAACTGGACTCGGTTGTGATACCGAAAATCGTGGTTTCTGTTCAGCTCATGTATCTAGGCAAGGTGGTATGCTTTGCCTTCAGCGATGGCACCATCCAGTATCGCGATAGGGTTACTATGATGGAGCTGTTCAACGAGAATAATGTTCACCGTGTCCTCAGCCCGCATGACGTAGGGTTCCAATACGCCAACGATACACCATGTAAGCCTCTTTACCGTCCTTGAACACTCGTCCCACACCGCTAACCACTCCTCTTTCACCAGGTCTCCAGGTTGCCTTTTCGCCCACTAACTGCTCTTATGTGCAAATATCCGAAGACTGGGATATAAAATGGAACAGCATGCGATACACTTTAACTGGTGCCAGTACTGCGTTACAAGGCGGTGGGTTTTGACCTTTGACCTCGAGTTGAATGTTCTTTACTAAAACCCAATAGCCCGGCAAAGCGCCGTCATGGCAGCCCTGACTCTTGCTTTATCCTCGGCCGTCGCTACACAAGTAAACTTTGATGATATCCTGGCGCTGGCCCATCTCTTCAGGGAGAATCCACGTAAGACCATCCCTCGAGTTTCTCGACTCAAACAACCATATACTGATACGTGTGAATAGAATTTGCGGCTTCTTGGGTCAGAGATTTAGTCAACCTGCTCAAGCTGAATTTTGACTTTTCCGACGAGGCCCATTATGACTCATTGGTTCGAAACACCCTCTTCCAAATATCTCTCAGCATCCTCAACCACATGGGCTTCCGTGGCGAGTTCCGGCCCCGGCCTTTTGAAGGAAAGCTATCTTTCCTCATACTCCAGATGCGGAACTTCATCGTTCTCGTGAGCCTTTCGCTTAACGCTCCCAAGAGCCTCGGGATCAGTCCACTGGACGAGTCAGAGGTCGTCGAGGTCTTGGCCGGCTGCGTCACATGGGCGGCTACTCTGATGGCGTGGATGGTCGATTGCCTCTTCGACCTCGCCGATGACCCGGCCTTCATGAGCATACTGAACGAGCAAAAGCGGTTCCCCGACCTGGCCAACTTTCTCCAGTCTCGCGGCGATGTCTCCCTCCATCTCCTCTGCTGTTCCTCGGCCCGTGGCTTCATCACCGCCGCGTGCCGCAGACTAGCCCACCTAGAGGGAATGAGCAACCGCGCGATTCGCTACTGGGAAGCCAACCATCTCAAGACCGAGAACAACGACGGTAGCGGCGGCGGCGGCGGCAAAGCCCTTCCCGACAGCCTCTACTTCGCCTACCGGAAGATGCAACACGCCACCAGCTCGTGTCTGATCAAAGTCCAAGAATTCGAAAAGATCCTGCAGGGTTTCGCCCAGGACGTGCGCACAGCCTACCAAGCGAGCCTCTCCCGGCGCCAATCTTCTGCTAATAACCAAGCGCAACAACAACAGCATCCATCCCCACAACAAAACAAGAACCAACAACCTCAAAACGCCGAAGACCAGTTCGTCAAGAAAGCCCAGGCCCACTGCGAACTTGACATGCTCCTGGGCGCTAACCCCCCGCCTTGCTTCCGCGAGGTCCTCCTCAAGTTCTTCACCCAGACCCTGCCCGTGTTCAAGAGCCATGTCGATCCGGCCAAGTTGTATTTTGCCAACTACGAGGTGCTCGATGTCGAGGAGAACCCGAGGATCTTGGCGGCTAGGAAGGCTAGGCGTAGGTATATTGATGTGTTTACAAGGCGGGAGATTACTTTCCCTACTTCGTCAGAGGATAATACCCGTGGCGGAGGCAGTGGTGCTGCTGGTGCTGCTGGTGAAGATGACGTGAAACGAGGTGGTGGTGTCGGTGCTGCCGCTGGACTTGAAGGCCAAACACCCAATCAAAACACTACTCTCGGAACAGGCGGCGGGATTTCCATCAAGATCGAGCTCGGCGCCGGATCTTCTACCCCGAACCTCAAAGGGATTTCCACCCCAGCTGGCGGCGGTGGCGGTAGCGGTGGTAGCGGTGGGAACGCAAAGGTAGCTGGGAACAATGCCGCCGCTGCTGTAGGTGCGAATGCCACCAATGGCGGAGGAGGAGGAGGAGGAGGAGGGAACAACAACGCCGGCACTACCGAGAACCCTAGCAATCAGTGGCGGAGGTGCGTCCGGTGCACGGCGGTCATGGAGGACTTCCCTGGTAATCATTATAGGGCCGGGTTCACGTTTGTCATGGCGCAGCAGAGGAAGTGTTCGTGTGGTGCGTGGTGGGCTTTGGTTCCTAAGACTACGGTGGGGGAAGGGGGGGCTACGGAGGAGGGTAAATAGGATGCATACCCGGAAGACCTTTCTGGTGCTGTCATTGGAACTTGGGGTCCAATGAATGGCAAGAAATGTTGGTATGAGGAAGTGATTGATGAGGATGGGGTTGTCAGCTGGGCAAGGAACTTTGTGAGGGGCGGGAGTAGGATAGGATAGGATAGGAGAGGATAGGATAGAATATGCCAGGGGTTTTTCAGTGAAGAAAATGAAAAACATGCAAGATTCAGCGTAGGTATTAGTGCTCGCTCGTTCTTTTCCATGGCTCCAAGGAGTAATATAAAGATCCAGAGAACGGGAAAACGTGGACAATGCCGGCAGTCGTTAAAAGACCCCTGGCCATAACCGCTGTAGCGGATCATCCCAAGCTCACCAAACCGGGGAAAAGCCCGGGGTAAGAGGCAATTATGGGGCGGTTGAGTGCGGGGGAGGGGATACTGTCCGCTAATATCTCCGATATCCGGTGACAGTTCAATCGCCGCCTCTGGGCCAGGCACAATATTTTTTGTTTGGGAATGATGGGGTGGTTTATCCCATTGGGGAGGATTGTTTGTGATGATTCAAAACATCTCGTCTCCCCAACTCCCGTCTTGACATCACTAAACATCATACTACGGACCAGTGCCGTTGAAGGTCACAAAGTATCACCACTAAGATGGTCAGTGACGGCGGCCATGGCGGCGAGTATCGCCAATACCTCCCAGACCTAAGCATCCCACGCTTCACAACTATGCAAAAGCAGGATGCCCATGAATACGCAAAAGAGTTCATCGAGGGAGGAAATCCTCCATGGCTACACGGCCTCTACTTGCACTGGAGAAAGCTCTTCCAAGATCCCTTCAAGGGAATCACCAACGACGGTTAGCTCACCCCCTTGAAGAGGTTGTCTCACTCGCTCACACACATTTTGCACACAAAATCCAGGAACCGTCCGTCCCAACCTCTTCACCCTCCAAGACGAGGGCATGCCCATTGACTCCATCGTCTCCGCCACCAACAAGCTCCTTTCCCTCCTCACCCCCCAACAGCGCTCGGCAGTGACCTACCACATCGACTCCCCCGAATGGCGCACCTGGTCCAACCCCGAATTCCTGCTCAGCAACAAGGGCATCCGTCTCGACGAGGTCCCTTCCTCCACCCGTGACGCCGTCCTCGCCGTCCTCCAATCCACCCTCTCACCCGAAGGCTACGCCAAAGCCCTCGGCGCCATGCGCATCAACGGCTTCCTGGGGGACCTGGTCCAAGCCCCGCGCGTCTGCAACGAGTTCAGTTACAACTTTGTCCTCTTTGGCTCCGGCCCTTCCACCACCCAACCCTGGGGCTTTTCGTTTTATGGCCACCACCTTTGTCTGAACGTGTTCCTGTACAAAACCCAAGTGGTCATCTCGCCCTGGTTCACCGGCGCCGAGCCGAACCTGATCGACGACGCCGGCAGCCCTTATGCGGGCACCCGCATCCTCCAGGAGGAAGAGAAGTTGGGCTTGCAACTGATGCAATCCCTCTCGGCCGCGCAGCAGGCAAAAGCCCAGGTGTACAAGCTCCTGCGCGACGACCCGGCCATGCCCAAGGGTCGGTGGAACCACGACGACCAGCGACACTTGTGCGGCGCGTACCGGGACAACCGGGTGGTTCCGTACGAGGGGGTTTCCGTCGCCGAGTTCACTCGTGAGCAAAAAAGGTTAGTAGAAAACATATTGGAGCAGTACCTGCTTTATCTGCCTAAGCAAGCGAGGGAGATCCGCTTAGGCCAGATTAGGGAGTGGTTCGATAAGGGGGAGACGTATTTCTGCTGGATTGGCGGGTTTGGTGATGACGATGCGTTTTATTATCGGATTCAGAACCCGGTGGTGATTGTCGAGTTTGATCACCATAGTGGTGTGTTCTTGACGAATAAGGAGCCGGCCAAGTTTCATGTTCATACGCTGTTGAGGACGCCGAATGCGGGCGATTATGGGATGGCGTTGAGGGGGCTGTTGGAAGGGGAGAAGCAGGAGTATGTGTGGGAGGGATAATGCTGTTGTTGGCATCTGGTGGCTACATGATGTTTTGCCTGGGTTTAAAATCTGTATCGGTGTCGGCGTGCAATAACGGAGAATGGGAAAGAACAACTTCCATGCAAGTGGCATCAACCGTCTTCTGCTCGTCATGCGCACAACCGAGGAGGGTACTTGCCTTTTCAAACATGGGTAGTGGGGACGACAAGAATTGGGCAAGGGAGGAATGAAGGAAGGTGCACCTCACCACCATGGCGCACCTGCCATATGTATCGTCAGTTAGCAGCCAGAGTCGCAACTTCCTAATCAAAGCTTTCACTGGAAATTTCAGCGTCGTTCGCACAATTTCTGTGTTAAGGTCAACCCTACGTCCTCCCCCTTCCATCTCCCGTATCATCAGCCAGAGTTGACCTTCGACATCTCACGGAAGCCACTCTATGATAACCAATGGCTCCGGCATCACGACTGACCTCACCCTTCTTTAATGACCATTCATGGTCTCAAGAAACAGCCAGTACCAATGACAGCTCACAGTCCTCACTGTTCTCCCAACCCTCGCAACCCTCGACACAACCCTCTCGGTCCTCGTCACTGCTCGAACCCGATCTGGAAGCAGACCTCGACCAGGAACAACTAGACGAGGTCGACGAACACTCTCCTGACGGATGGGCCGGCTATTTGAGCGCCCAGTATCAGACCTACATCGTCGACAATTTGAAGCAGACCGTGTTTGAAAAGCTCGACCAGCTCAAAGCCTCCATCACCTCCCTACAACAGAATCATGCCCGCCAGGAGAAAGCCAGCACAGCATCTGCCAGCGAGCTCAGGGCCACCCATGATCAGATTTTCAGTTTCCTTCGAGATCTCAAGCCCATTCCAAGCCGGCTTTCCGCACTAGAAAGTGATGTCAGGCAGAACAAGGAACAAGCAGGCCATGCCCTGTCCAATCTCGACGACAAAGTCTCGAGCCTGAAGACAGACCTTGGCGTAAAGCATGACGGGGCCATGAGAGGTTTGAAAAGTGTCCAACAACAAAACAAATCCCTCCTCGAGACACTTGAAGGCCTGCAAGGAGAGGTCAGGAATCTCCAGCTACAACAAACACAGGCGGATGAGAGACTGTCCTCTTTCCAAAGTGAAGTAGAGAAGGCACTAGCACCACGTCAAGCACCCCCGGATGAGGCCATGGACTTCTTGAAGCAGCTCCTTTCTCGTCGTGCCGACTTCATGGGACTTATGGAGTCGCCAACCACAGAAGCGAGCGGTGCGAACGTGCCACTTATCGAAGCAGGTAAGTTTTTACTTCCCTTCCACAGTCAAACCAAATCTCTGACAATTGTAGCGCCCCAAACCAACCTACCATGGAGATCTCCTCAAGACACTGCCGACAATAGCAACTCAAACCAGTTAGTCAAGGCAGCTCCGAAGACAAAAGCCACACAGAAAAGAAAAGCGTTGCCACCAGCACCTGACCTCACGGGTCCAGAGCCCCAGGCGAAGAAGAGAGCGAACCCGAAGCGAAGGAAAGTCGACTTACCTCCCGTCAGTTCGAACCTGCAACCTCTTGAGAGCACGAAGCAGCTGCCTCCCGCCAAAGCGAGAAAAGCGCTTCCTGCCCCAGAGAAACGATCATCTGCCACGACCAAGCAGTCCGGCACCACGAAACAGAAAGCCCCCGTTGCAGACATGGGACCCCCTCCTGCTGGCCCCAGTCAGCAGCCTCCTGTCAGGCCCAAGGTTCAAGACATGAAGCTTCTCTTCAAGAAATACAACGACGAATACAAAGCAAAACCTCCCAAAGCCGAGTATCTCTTCATATGGAAGTTCATCAACGACATCGATAGTTCAGAGAAGCTGATCCATCTCCAAGTGCGCTTGTTGGAACTTTTACCAGATCATATCTCGCAGAGAAGGGCGTCTCATCGCCTTGGGGACAAGTTTATCCAAATCTCAAAGGCATTGACCTGGGCGCAATTTGCGATGGCACTTGCTGAGGTGTAGCAATGGTGAAGTGGTTGTGAGTGGAATTTCCGACATCACAGATATCGGGGCAGAGAAAATGTTTGCCAACCTTGACCATATGGGAGTACGTCACTTCACTGATCTGCTGATCTGTGAGATTTCTTGCTCTTTAACTATGTTATATGTTGTATGTCGAGTCAGTCAGTAATCTGGATGTGAAGATGGTCATGGAAGCACGCAAAGTACGCAGAAGGACGGCCTACTACGCTTAGGGATCGTATGACCAACTCCATGTTCTTCATGCAATGCCAACAGGAAGGAGCGGGGAAACAAAGTAGAAGTAGAAATGAAGGAAATTTGATGGAGAAAGAAAGTGGCGGAAAACAAACGGGTATCGAATAACCAGCAGGCCAGCCAAGTTAATAACAAGGTCTATCCAATGTCATTTCCCAAGCCCTCTCACCTCCCTTTCTAGTTGATGCTAAAGTAAGACATAATCTTCTTGGCCTACCTTTCTCAACTCTTCCTGCCGTGTCGCTGGTAAACCTTGATCGAATTGACAACCCAATACGCCTCCTTGAACTGACCCGGATTCGCTCCCACATAATCCTCACACTTTTTCGCCAACCCCTTACACGTCGGGTTCTTATCCCATACCGCGCCCGCCCAGTCTCCGCAAAACGCCGTGTTAAAAACGATGCTGTGGTTCTTGAAATGGTCCCGGAGTGAACAGCCACGATCAAATACGAAGGCGGCCAGCGGCGTTCCGAAATTTGACGGGTCCGCCCCCGGTGTTGCAGAAGAAACAACACCGCCTGCGGTCATGTTCTTAGACGAAGAGGAAGAATAGGAAGATGCAATCCCTCTAGTAGTAGTAGTAGTTGTCGTTGTTGTGTTTCCGGCTAGTTTCGTCGCCAGATCGGATCCGCGCGGGAAGAACCAGACTTTGATGAAGCCTGTTGATCCTCCTCCTTTATCCTTATTCTCACCACCACCATCACCACTACTCGAGTCGTGATTCCCACCACCATCACCCGACCCAACAACAACAACATCAGAAGAAGACCACCACTCAACAGCATAAATCCCTCCTCCGCCTTTATTAAACCCAACCCTATAATTATTCCCCGTTCCGTTTTTTCCCACTCCTCCATCACTACTCCCATGTCCCGTAGTAGTATCCTGCTTACACCCCGTGTTACTCGCGCAATCCGCATCAGCAAGCTTGGTATCCGAAGCCGACGAACCCGTGGAGGAAATGTTACATGTCCCTCCCCCCTCCGATCCTTTTTTGGTGCTTTTTGTCCCGGAGGTGTGTAAGGTGATGGAGTTTGTTGATTGCGTGTTTACCCCTTCGAGAATGTCGATTTCGCCCGAGGCGGGCCAGTTGGGGCCGAAGGTCCAGAAGGCGGGCCAGAGGCCGCAGGAGGAGGAGTCATCACGGGAAGACTTGTAAGTACCGTCGTCATCGTGATCGTAGAGGCCCGAGGGCATATGATAGATATCCGCAATGAACAATCCCTCCGTGTAAGTCTTTTTGAAGGTTACGCGAACCGAGGGCCGGCCGTGGGGTGAAGCAGCATTTTTGGAAGAAGAAAAAGAAGAAGAAATATACTTGTTGATGTAATGGACTCCCAACATGACGCCGTCAGGCGCGTAGCCGACTAGACCGGTGTCGGTGGCGGTTTGGTAGTCTGAGACGTATTGGACGAAGCCGTGGGTGGGATCGGAGGGGCCGTTGAAGAAGGCGAATTCGGAAAAGAAGTTTTGGGCGTTGAAGAGGTCGACGAGGGTGTAGTTGGAGGAGGGAGAGGGAGAAGAGGAGTTGGAGGAGGAGTTAGTGGAGGAGAAGTTGTAGGCTGCGTGTGGTACGGGAAGTCGGGGGCTTGCTGCTCGCTCGGAGAGGAGGGCGAGAGCGGTGGTGGGTGCGAAGGGGAATATTGGCATGGCGACGACGGTTGGTTGTCTTCTTCGTCTTTCGAAAGCGGAATGGGAACTGCTGTGAAGTGAGAGCAACGTCGTCGAGGATAGTGAAAAGAGTATCAGGCTCGATGTTTGTTTCCTATCTACCTGTCAAGAAAAGAAGGATATGTTCAAGTTAAAACCAGACACAATCGGTCCAGCCCGCCACCGAAGAAGGAGAAGCTATTCAGAACAGACAGACAGCCCGAAAGCAATAACGAGATTGTGGCAACGTAGGTGACCAGCACTGATATGTCGACACTCGTCAAGAACCTTGTCTCCCGCTCTGATGCGAGTCTCGTCAAAGAGCAACTTTTAAGAAAAAGAGAAACTTTACAAGGGAGAAATAAGCGCCTTGTTGTTGTTGTCCTTGGAAGAATGAAAGCATGAAAAGTCAGGGGTAAACAAACTCTGAAAGACGGCAAACCAACTTGGAACCGAACCGCACCCAACAGCAAAGAATGAGAACAATGGAGAAAAAGCTCACGAGATGCTGAAGAAATTGATTTCTACTTATGCTTGAGTAGAAGTCAAAGCATATGCATTCAGCCGTGTAGAAGCAACCCTGAACTTTCTATGCATGACGGCTTAAGGTCTAACCATGACTGATCGATCTACCGGTACCGTGGGTAATGGATAGCCACTCGGCTATCTATTGAAACACTCCAAGGATATCACTGATAACTCGAGATGATATGTACCCGTGGTTAATCTTCCAGTTACCCGTAGCTGTTGATCGCTTCATCTCTGAGCTCCATAAAGCCGTGAGTTCACTCGCTCGCATGCGCGGAGATGATAAGGTCAACAACGGCAAGCGACCACTACATCTTGATACTCGCCATCCCCGCGAGTTTTCGCAATAACCGCTGGAAACATGATTTGAAAGGAGAGCGTTCCGAACGGCTAGATATTCTATGAACATGTTAGCAATTTTCGTTGTTTTACCGGAGTGTCTACCCACCACCACCAAAACAAATGAAGTTGGAGATGTTCTTGTTGCGTGTTTGTCGAAAGGAACTGTTTGGAATCTTGGCTATGACGCACGGCCACTGTGATCTACTGTGTAGAACTACAAACTTCTTCAGGGGCCTGGACTTGGGGGTCAGAGTCCCTTAAAATGCTAGAGTTGCCGAAAACGCCCTACAAGAGGAACAAGCACGTGGGGGTGTCGGCACCTTGTCGCCTTGTTGGTTGTTAGTTTGCTATTAGTCGACGGTCTAGACCCCCGTTGCTTCTAACGAGGGGACGTTGGTACTACATTACTTGCACCAATGCACCCTCCCTCTGGCACCCTCTGGCAAATTAGTGAATGAAGCTCACAAAGAGATGCTGTGTTTGACACTGGTGAGGAATTTCGAAAAGTTCTGGATAGGCTGTTGTTCTGCTCGATCTTGGGTATATTCATCATGCTCTCCTTTGAATTCCCCAAGGTGTATATATCTCTGACACTGAGGCAGCCTTAGTCAACGATGACCTCTTCGCGCCACAGTAATGAGTTGTTGCCTTGGCAAGTTGTTTACGAGAAAGCCGTCGGGAAAAAAAGGACTAAAATCGTAAGCCTGTCAGACGTGCCCTGGCCCCTCTTTGATGACCCTATCGTATCCAATCTTCTTGTGGTACCCTCCTGTCAACCTGTCTTCGAAAAGCGTACCTGCAGGTCATCATCAGTGTATAACCGTATAGGTAACACTCATCACACAGCATTTGGCAGCGGAGTCCAAAACCCGAAAAAGATGTCCAAATCTCGCGTCAACTTGCTTCCAGCGGTTGGTGCGCCCGATTTGACAGGGTCGTAGTATTGCGTGAACTCTGTTAATCAACTCGAGGCTCGTGTAAGACATCGAGTAACAGACTTACATGCCATATCTGCGGCAGTGAAACCTGAGCTAGCTCGATGCTGTGGTCGTGTCTTTTAAGCTCGCTGAGCTTTGCCATCCATATGAGAGAGTGTATCTATACGTTTAGCCAATGCGCCTGTATATGCCTCTATATCACTCCGCTGATACTTGTTCCCTCTGCCATACCTAGCAGTAACAAACATTGGCGTAGGTTCGTCTACTTCGTACAAATGCGATATATGTGTAGCCATAGTAAAGTCCGTAACTCTTGGCGCCAAAACTTTCCCGTCACTCCAGCCTGCGTGAAGACTTCGCAACAGAAACACAAGGAGGACTTGGCGTCGGACGTGACAATCATTATTCGTCCCCATGCATAAGTCTAAGATGAGAAGACACACCCGATAGATCAAACCGCCCATTGGCAGGCACGACTCAGATCAGTAAGCCGAAGTGAAATGGAAATAGAAGGGGATAACAAAACATTATCATGATAAATTCTTCTTCCAGCAATGAGATAGGGAATCTCCATCCTCAAACATCCCTCATTTTGATGTGATAGTCGTATACAAGATTGGGGTATACAGAATTATATAAAGACAACGTAGGAAGTAACTTGATTATGGACGTAGTGTTGCCATTTATCGGCCAAACCACCTCTAGTTGCTGGCGGCGTACCGTGGGGTGCTCAACACGACCTTAACTTCCAGCGATCGAATAGAAACGTCGTGAGTGTCGTGTCGTTCGCATCAGGGTTTCAAGACTGTAGGTGATGTGTCTTAAAACTTGACCTTCTTGCCGGTAAGCTTGAACCAGATCCCGCAAAGGAGGTCCTCCTTAAAGCGTTCCCACAACGACCGGTTGAGGTAATAGCTCAGTTCGCGGAAGTTGTACATCTCGCCCCAACAGTCGCGGCCCCATTCGCAACCGGCCATGTTGACCAAGAAATCCCGATCCTTCTGATCGTAGTGTATGCGCGGGTCAGTGCCCTTTTCGGAGCAGGCGCCTGTAGGGAAACTGTTGATCATGCGCTGCGGGAGGAAGGCCGTGCTCTTGCGAATCCAGGGTTGCGCAATGTAAAGCTGCTCCAAAGCATCTTGCTCCTTGTGTTCCCACTCCATGTGCTTCTGTTCATATGCAACAGGATCCCACCAAACGTCAAGCAGATGGTCCGTCCAAGTGCCGCGGCGCATGAAGAAGGAACCCAAGTTGAATCCGGAGCAGTCCTGCGACAACATGAGGTGGATCGAGTTCGGGTTGCCATCTCCAATCGGGCTTTTCGAGAGTTCGTCGAGGTAAGGGTCGGCTGGGGGGTGAGAAATGTTCAAGGGATTGTACTCGGTGATATCACGGTAGGTGACATCCTCGATGCGGTCGAAGATATGGTCCTGTAGAGACTTGGATGGCTCCATGATGAAGGTGTTGAGATCGAGCCACCAAACCCTGAGAAGAAGTTAGCGACGGAAATACATCAAATAGAGTGGGAACCTACCATTCTGCCTTGGGATACTTTCTCAGTGTAGAGCGGACGAAATCGACCTTCTCCCAGCTCTCGCGCCATTCATGGGCATAGCGTTTCTTGGTGCTCATGTCGACAATCTCGAGATCGTATCCCCACTTGGCAACGTATTTCTTCTTGTTGCGGATCGAGTCCCTCTCGATGGCCCATTCCCTGGCGCCCTTCCACTCCATGACACCACCGCCGACGTTGGCAGCCAAAATGATGACGAATTTTTGACCCCCACCAAGCCATGATGTTCTTCGGTAGTAGTATACCAGAGCTTTTGATATGTTAGGTCACTGTCTCTCAAGAGAGGGTTGCATAAACTCACGAGTGCTGTAAAAGATGATGTATCCTAGCAGGAACAGGAGGAAAAAGGCTAGCAGCATCTTGGTCCTCCTGCTCATCCTCCCCGTGATGCCTCGTATCCTGCCGAGTCGCAGCATGTTCAGGCCGGACCATCGACCTTGGCCAATCTTCTCTCTCTCAGCGCCATGGGTGTTGTCGGCCTTGAATCGAGGCAGCTGACTTGATATCCGACGCATGTGGCGGCTAAAGAAGCCCTGATTCTGTGTCGAGAAGGACTGGTATGCGGGGCCGCCCATGCTTTTTTGCCTTTCCCACATGACGGGCGTCCCGTTGGATCCGGCGTAAGCCTTGGTAGGACTCGATCGACCGCTCGGGCTGAGGTTGTTTGTAAGGCCTGGACTCGCCCAGCCACCACCGGGGACGGGAGAGGGACTGCGGGACAGCGACATTGGCGTGGTCGGGGTGCCTAGAGCGGACGGAAGGACCAAGCGACAGTCAGTAACACATCGGACAAGTGGCTAGCGGCCAGACGAGTGGAAGTGAGACGGCGGCCGTTGGACCGCTGGTGGCAGTCACGGGCGTGGGACAAGGGAAGAACACGTACCCGGGATGGGCGAGAGGCTGTTGGGGTCGTAGTTGCCGTTATGGGGCTCAACCCCCAGGAGACCCGAAGGAGATCGGCGATTGTCCAATCGGAGTTCGCTGGGAGGATTAGCGGCGGACGAGCGTCTTCGGTGATGGGAGCGGGCAGGACGGTCGCTGTAGGAGGACGATGCCCCGATGCCGTTGGGGGAAAGTGTAGCCAGCTTTGCGGATTTATTTGGCGACTTCACCAGGTGGCACTATGGGCCCTCTGGTGATATCGCGCAGGGGTGTAGGGGGTAGCTGGGCTTCCTTGCTGGGGAGGCTCAAAGGGCCCAGGCAGAGCGAAAGGCTGACGGACGGACTGATGAGATAGGTACGGTACGTCGGTACGTAGCGGTTGGTGGTTACGGTGGGCTGGCTGGCCTTGGTGGCTGCTGGGCTGGGCTGCGCTGCGTACGGTCGGATGGGTGTCCGTGGTAGGCTCTACCCAAGGAAGAAGGTAGACTGATGCGCTCGTGCGGTACAACCGAGAGGATTCCAAGGTGGACGGACGGACGGGCGGGATGGGACAAAGGGGACCCGGTGTGTCTTGGAGACGTCCGAGTTTCGGGTTGGGTTGCAGGGCGCGCAGGCTGCTGTTGGAGGAAGAGACCCGGCGCCTGTGGTGGCTCTACCCGTTGGGGATTGGAGGTCAGTTCCTGTCTGTTTCCCCAAGCACTGCTTGGTTCCTGCTTCAAGATGGATTCGGCTGTATGCCGGGCAGATGTCGTTCAGTGGATCGCTCGCCGCCCTCGATTACCTAACGGTTCCTGCTTGGATCATGCGCGTCTTGGTGGATGGGAAAAAGAAGTAAAAAAACAAAAGATTCAGAGGCACTCGACGCAGTACGAGAGTGAGTCTCTACCGGCAAGACAGATAAGACGTTTCAGCTATGGAAAGAAAAATCACTTCAGATGAAGAACAGCCCTGCCCGTCCACTCGCTATGGCCAGCGTGGACAAAGAAGCCAAGAACCTTCTAACTTCATCGCGACCCCCCGGCCGGCCCCCAGATATTTCCCCTGGAACAACTTTTTTTTCTTTCTAGCGGGCAACTTTTCAACAACTACCCACGCCAAGATTGCCCCGACACATGCAGGGCACCACCCAGGCCTGTTCACTGCGACCCCTGTCTCCTTCCAGGGCTCTACACTACGGTCCATGGTGTTGGTTGCGACTAGTTGCGACACCTGGATGGTGATGGAATCGCGCAATTTCACCTGGAGTTGGAGTCCTCAACGCAACTTGATAACAGCTCGGCCTTCACCGTCTTTAGGCTCATTCCTTCCAAAGCATGGAAAGGGGGGACAGACGCTAGTGTTGTGAACAGGGATGCCGGGCGTGGACTTGACAGTGCGGCGGGCAGTACCTTAGCGCATTGGGCTGACCCTTCGACTCTTGACTCTTTCAGCCAATGGCAATGTTACAATCCAGTTAATTAAGCGCTTGGGGATAGCAACTTGGGGTCTCCTTCAAATTCCCCAAACGGTTGCTGGCTGAAGCCATTTCCGCTCTTTCTTTTGGAAGGCCAGGGGCATCATGGTTACAGAAAAATCACCGGATGTGGGACAAAGTACAAACACAACATGTTTTGGGTTTCAGTCTTCGGCCGATTGCGCAACAGAAAGGTAATTGATCGCCCCCCCTGCCTTGAGGTGACTATCTCTTGGCTCTGATCCGGCGCTACGGAAAGACTGGCGCGCTGTTGGTTCGCTAGAACAGAACCGAAGAATGAATGCGGGTGATGTGGTGATGCTGATCACTGCTATGGATCTCATGTTTAACGCAATTTAAAGGGGGACAAATTATATGAGACCGCGTTGATCCCCATGCATACGGTCCAAGGTCTCATCATTTTTGTCATGGGCGAGAGGGGGTCAAATCTCCTTGTGTCCCCTCCAATGTTTTCACCATTTCAGCACCCGCGCAAACCTGGCCCTGGGGGTCTATTGACGACTATGGGGTACCCCATAGCACGCCCGCCACCTCAATCCCTACCGCGGAACCTAACATGATGCTAATGACGATACATTCTCTGGAAGATAGGTGGTGACCAATGGCAAAAATGTCATATCGACCTTCAGATGTCAACACTCAACTCATATCGGGCATGGCTACGGTACCCATGGACTTTGAACGGTTCACTGTGGTGGCTTGTGGCAGAATAATGTTGGCAACTTACCATCGCTTTTACCAAACTTTTGGCATTCTCAACGGATATCGTAAACCCAACCGTAGCAAACCCACGACAAACTGGATCACTTGACGATCCTCCTTTCCTTGACTACCCCGGGCGCCCAGGTGTCGAATGAAAGGACACTGGAGCTACTCGGCATGTGGGAATTTTTGCTAGAAGCTTCAGAACATTGAAAGATCATAGTCTTCAGCCCCAGCAAAAAAGAGGAAATTACGCTTCCATACGACGAGATCGATGGCCTAGCCGCCCTGATGTTTGGACAGTTGTGTGTCGAACATAACGGTGATGGAAGAACACATCTCCGTCTCCTGGCTCCAATATCCTCCTTGATGTCCAAGTCCTCTTCGATCTTGGTAGTTATGGTTAAAACCACAAAGATCTTTTAGGGAAAAACTACTTGAACAATAACCTCAACAATATACCAAACATACAACTACGGCTTCCTCGCTCCTGCCCAAAGACCTTTTCAGTAGACCTCATATGGCAGCCTTCAAAAAGCAACTCCCAAGCTCGTTAGCTCACTATGGCTCACGGCCAGCTACTTGGATGTTCATGTTTTCACACAAAAACACTTCACGTCTTGTTCCACCAGGTACCTTAGTTTTCCAGCTTCTCATATGCCGAGAGACCTACATGTCCTTCAATGTCCACTGAAATAATGGGTTAGGGTAGATCGTATCTCACTGGATTCAGACGGTCGGTCTTGGATCTCTAGAGTAGACCCTGCAAAATGCCCAGGCTGAAATATGTAACACCCGCCATTGCCCATTCCAAAGAGACTTACTTCACTTGGTGACAACACCATACATACTTGACCAGCCCTCGCTTGAAGTTAAGCCACCTGCATGGGACTGGACCTTACGAGGCTCAAGAGATTCAGTAAGTACTATGTTATCCCGCCCATGAAAACTCGTCAGAATGCTGAGAAGTCAATAACATGACGTCTGTGACAGACCCCTCCCTGTAGTTGACGAGCCATCCATCCGCTGTTCTTTCAGGTAGGTATGCAAATGTCTGGTGTCGTAGAATGTCACAGCCAAGAGCAGCAGTGATATACACAATGAAAAGGATATTTTCATACTTGAAAAGGTTTCCTATTGAAGCAGACAGACAGCAAAGCCCATGCATGCACTCTCAAAGTGTACCTATGTATAAGCAACAGTTCTGTTGACAGAAAACGGTATGTACACTTGCCCTTAGTCATAGCAAAGACTTCTAGACAGACGGCTAGTAGTTCGTGACAGAAAAGTCAAAGCGTAACCGGCGGCCTCTGGGTAGACATGTCCTTCGGACTACCTATGTACATAATAGTACATGAAGAGATCCGAATACATACCCCCGAGTATAGCACCAAAAGCCGATTGTATTACGGGGGCCAATGTCTTTGTTCGTTTCAAAACTCAAAAACTTTGAAATGAATAAAGTTCCCTGACAGCTGCGGACACTAGATCCACACTGAAGGGTGGCTTCGATAATGCAATGCAGCAGGGCAGGCACTCCCTAACGAACTAATGAGGCAATGAGGCAATGAAGCAACCAAAGTCAATGAAAGTCAATGAAAGTCAACCAGAAGAGAATTAATGGAAGTCAACCGAACGAAGTCGATGAGAGTCAGTGGGGCAGTGCCATGAGCTGAGAGTTAATGAGAGCCTGAGGTTTGCCAAGATTTAGGGTAGCAGTCGGCAGTGCAAGTGGATCCTCTTGCTTGCCGGGCGTGGTGTGAAAGAAAAGTCCGGACACTGACTGGGTCTGGTTTGGTGTAAGCGTGTCCGGACTATTTTTCATATCACCTGCCCCTCTTCCTCTCTCCAGCAATGGGAGTTGATGCGAGGTATAGGCGTTGATGGGAGTTGATGAGGGTTATTAGTATACCGGTAATGCCTTTGGATGGGTGTGAATTTGAGCATGTAAGTGTCATGGAGGCGTTGTTATAACAAGCTTGACAGCTGTCCGTAGTTGAGTGCACGAACCAAGTGAGTTTTGAAACGAACAAGGACATTGGTCCCCGTACGATATCGTGAACGGAAGTAGCCCGGGAGTAATAGTTGCCTGTGGTTGGATCGCTACTGCCCACAACACCGACAGTACGATCTCGTGTCAGCCGACCAGCCGACCATCCGGACAGGGAGGGCAGTAGCAACTAGCAACCGACCAATGCTATTCCAGACTTGGGCAGCGGGCTACCTCTCGATCTTATCATTCCATCACACACCTTGTTCGTTGTGGCGCGTCGTCAGCACAGCCAACTTGCGGGGCCCGAATAAATTCCCAGATCTCCCCATCTGATTCATTCCTACTTCTCTCTCCTGTTTCCTGCCAGTTCACATACATCTACACCGAATTGACAATTCTGACGACCTACAAGCAGAAACATCGTGACAAGAGAAATCAATCTCTGCCTTGAGTTCACCATTATTTTCAATCCCACCAAATAAACCTATACACATCAAAATGCCTTCTTCCACCGACAACGTTCCCCAGCCACAACAAACAATGGAGATGGTGACCCCACAGGACGCCATCATCTCCCAGCAACCTGTAAGTCACAACTCACGCATCCCCACCACCCTGGAAAGCGTTGGATATCAAGACTAACTCAGACCAAGACAACTGAGCCACAGCCCGAGATGTCGACCGAAGGAACATTGCGCGGCGGCTTCGTCGAGGAGTGCAACTGCTGCTGCTGCGGGGAGGAGTGCGCTTGCTGCTAGATATCTTAGTGAGCCATGGGCGCGACGAGATCGGCAGAGGTGAAGATGATATGCGAAATGATTCCAAGAGCTCGATGACAGACTCGAGAGGGATAGGCCGCTTGCTGAGATGAGGGTCTGCCTGAGTAGTGCCTTCAGTAGTCAAGCTGGTTCATGCGGTTGAATTGAATCAATCTCTCTTGTCATGACAAGTCAATGCTTGACCGCCTTAGTCCCGCCATGTGATGTCTCGTTTCTTGCTACAAGAAGTTATACATCAATAACTTTGATGGGAGTGACCTCCTCTCATCGCGTCGACTTCATACAGTTTGCCATTAGGAACGAGGTGTACACGTACTCGGATCTGATTGTTGTTGAGGATATCTGCTGTGGTGATGACCTACCTGGCGTGCGAACCCCTCCTTAGCACCTAGGTACGTCTTGAGACTCGAAACTCGACTCAATATTCACGAAAAGATCAGATGTCAGTCTGATGAACTTTTCGACATGCCGTCGTCGTTGAAGATGACGTCTAAAGCAGGGGAGATATCTTGGCAGCTTGGCGAAAAAGCTTGACCTGGCGCCATGGAAGCTTGGCAACCTTGGCAGGCCCAAGCCAATGATGGGTCACAAGAAAGATTGTTGGAGGGTGGCCAAGGTGAGGGGAAGCTGAGGTGTTGGCTCACTTTGTGTGTGTCCAACGATGCAGCGAACCAAGGAATTTCGTGGTTTCATCCAACCCAGATCTCCCAAAGTACCAACCCAACCACACTGGAGCTTTGAAAAGGGGACGAGGCTTTCAGGGCAATCCTTCTCACTGTCCAACGAGAGGCACTCGATAGTAATCTCCCCTCCCAAGCTCAGATGTCAATGACGGGTGGCTGTCTCTGTTTTCGCAGCCAAGAATTAGAGGAAATGATTGTGATATCCGATGGGTACACAGACAACGGATCTGTAAAGCCCCGAGAGGAGGAGGGTCTGAAACCACCTACAAGTCCAAACAGCGACCATAACTGTGAAGGACGGATGATGTGCGACCATAAGGCAGAGTGCGAGTGCTAGGTTCGACCTTTTTTCGTAAAAGCATGTCAAGGTGGGGGATTGCAGTCACAGGTAGATTGAAGTGCAGCAACCCGCAACCTCAAGGTGTTATCCCGTCTGTGCCCTGGGCGTACTGCGTTGTACGTGATGATGGATGATGGCGAGCCAAAAGACGGCGGTGCTTGATGATAAATCGTGGAGAAAGTGGAAAGGAAGTGGAAATGCTCTTCTCTTCCCGCCGCCAAGAGTCACAGGCGGACACAGGCGGTGGTTTCTTGAGCTCCACGGACTGACCAATGAGAGGCAGACTTCTCGACGCAGAGATGCCAAGAGCTGCCAGGGCCTGGAGCTTCCAGCCAATCCATCACCAGCAAAGCAACATGGCGGCGCTTATTCCAGACCACAGCGTTCCTCGGCTGCGCCAAACCTTCTCCACGACGGCGCTTTGCTCGACGACGACAGCTCCTTCGAAGACGAAGCAGACATGGGTAGACGCAGGTCCAGATGAGGCGACCGGCCACTCGGCGCGCCTGGTGGTGCATGCCCTGTAACAATTGGCACCATAGACGAAATGACTGGAATCTGTTATGACCAGTCCTCCTCCTTCTTCCTCTTTTGCTTCAGGTTGTTGCTGTTGTCAAAGTGTGCGTGTGTGTTTTACTTGTTACGGGTCTGCCTCAGCCACGGGATGGAGAGGGAACCCATTTTCCATTCGTTCTAATCTTTTTCATCCGAATTATTCTCCCATCGTTAATTCAGTCCGATCTCGAATCTTATTCAGACAGTATTTGGCAGGTCCTGTGAATAGGTAGTCACCCTTCCTATTGTTCCATCTTTTTTGGTCCACCCAACTGTCCACCCTCAGAGACTTGTCTCACTCTCCTGGGACAGAGATAGCCTTTGGCTTTTGGTCGCGGGACAGGAACTCAACTTAATCTCTCCTTCGACGACTCGCTTGCTGGCCATCCGAGTCTCACGCGAGCTTCCTGGCGATTCCCGCTCCCTTTGATGAGTTAGACGACTTACGCAACACCACTTTACTCACGATGGCTGTCAACATGAACGGCCCGATGGCGCGTCCGGGTCCCCCATTTCACCCTACAGTCAACAACAGGAAGGAGGAATGGGAGGATTGGTCCGACGATGAGCCATTCACCCCGATTCAAGAGAAGGATGGTGAGCTTACTCCCCTCACCCCAACCTTCAGCAGCCCTTACAGCACCAACAACAACTATACGACGAAACCATCAACACAACGTACATCTTTCTCGACGGCTCGCCAGTCCATGCAGAGAATCAGGCGTGTAAAGTCACGTCAGAGGCAAAAGGCACAGAATGCCAGGGCCGGCATCAAATTGATCACAGACATGACAAAATTACAACAACAGTTAGCCAACCAAAACAAAGGAAAGGGTTTGAACGACAAGGCAAAGTTTGTGGATGCGGCTGCTCTAAAGGCACTGGAAGGAATGGCTTCAGACGAATCTATCGGCACCTTTGCTTGGCTAAGGAAGAAGAAGAGCAGCCCAGCTTCAGCCACTCCGATAGAGAGGAGGATGGATAGGCTAGCGGTAGACACTCCTACCTCGGCCGAGCTTTCACCAAGTGTTGGCGGTATCATGATCGGGTTCGCCATGCCATCAGATTCCAATGTCGTCATCAGTCCACAAACGGCTGTCGTTGATACACCGGTCGACTTTGACAAGTACTTCTCTCCGCCTCCCACAGCAAAGCAGCCCGTCTCAGTCTGGTCACCAGACACTCCGGATTCCCAATTTACCATCAACTCGTACAGGACAGCAGGCCCCAGTGCTGGCACCGTGCCGGCTGTTCCTGCCGTTCCCAACAAGTATAGAGATACCCAGGCGACGGAATTCTACCTCAGCGACAACGAAGATGATTTACTCACTCCAATGGGATATGGAAAACCGCGCCCGCCAAGGGTCACTACCACGGCCTACTTCAGCGACGAGGATGACGACATGGCCACTCCGGTGACTCTGTTTGAGGAGGATGGAAGTCCTTTGACGACGCGACAGAGGTCCATCATCAAAGCAAAGAGCCCCGTGTCTGCGACATTAACCGCGCGGTCACAAGGCTGGTGGGATCAGATTACTACGCCATTCACCCAAAGCCCGGTAATGTCAAGGACCCCTGTTACCAGCATTCAAGAGGAGGACGACAAGCAAGAGTGGTGGAAGACGGGCAACAATAGGTCTTTGTCCCCCAACAACAATGCCCTTGGTCAGGGGTCTTCGGGAAGTGCCGTGAAGGCAAATCGACCTCCCATGATAGTTATTGAGGATGTCTCGCAAGTTGAAGCTTCTTCTTCTTCTTACAACCCGTTCGCGACATCATCAACGGCGACAGCATCCTCCTCATCAGCAGCAACGATGCCAACAACAGCACCGATGGTTTCGCGGCCACAATCCCATGCAGAGAAGGCGCGCATATTGATCGAGGATAACGAATCGACTCCTGCGGAATTGCCTCCTCCGTACTCGCCCCCGAAAAAGAACCAGAAAAAAAATGCCCAGAACACCGAGAACGTCCGATACCGAGCCGTATTTCCTCCCAACCACCCGCTGAACTCCATGTATCCGCCTTCTCCGGGTCCAGTGTCTCCCGGTCTGTCGCAGACGATGACCTCACAAGGCGCGATCGATTTGCCTTATGTTCCTGCAAGGCCGCCTCCCGCCAGACCTGCGCTTCATCACAGAGACTTCCCAGCAAGGCCACTCGGATCCTTCGTACCCGCCCATCATGTTGTAGGATACGAAACAAGGCAGAAGGCTGAGAAGAAACGGCGCCGGAACGAGAAGGAGGACGCAGTGGCACGCAAGATGGGTGGAATGTGGAGAGGACGTGGCTGTATCCCAACAAATGGCTGCTTTGGTCGCCCCGGTCGAGAAGGCAGGAAGCGTAGGCGGTGGTGTTTGACCTTATTCATTGTCACTCTCGGGTTGGTAGCGCTCGCTGTGGCTCTCGGGGTTGTCTTGACACGCCCCAAGCCTGGCAAGCCCGCCCCGTATTCGCCTTGGCTCAACCTCACGGATTTCCCACCAATCCCTACCGGCATCTCCACGGTTATTGGCACCGATTCCGTTACTGATACCTCATGCGCTCAGGATCCGCGCTTCTGGAGTTGCGCACTGCCCAAAGACCAGACTGCCCAGGCGGAACCCTTTGCTGCCGATCAGCCCAGCTTCATTATCCAGATACAGTTCGACAACAGCACACAACAAGCGTGGAATGTCACGGGCCAGGCAATCCCTACGCCTACTCCTACCAAGGATGCCGAAGCCTCTTCTACGCCGTCCCAGACTGGGAGCAACAAAAGCTCCGTTACTAATGGTACGGAAGCAAACCAGACGAGGGGACAGCGCCCGCAATCGGGCGGCGAGCCGATGGGCTTCATCTCGGTTGTCAAGAGACTTTTGGGTCGTCAGATCCAACAAGCCCCCAGCGCTGGATTCATTCCGCGCCCATCCCCGCCCGAATTTCAAGACATGTACTTCTTGGGAAACACCACCGATGGCATCGTGTCCGCAGAGAAGGCTGGAGAGCCGACTCCATTTTACATCAGCATTCTGCGCACTCTCGATGATTCGGTTGGGCCCAACATGCTCGCCCGTCGCGACGCTGCTGAAGTCGATTCCGCCTCCAACCAGCTAAACAAGCGGCAATCCAAGGGCGGCGGCGTCGATCTGTCTTTCATCCCGCCTGTCCTGAATTCCGACGGAACCGGCGCTCCAGCCGTACTCATGCCCTTCCCTACGCAACAGCCTCTCCGTCTCTTCGACCGCGGTTTGCCGACCGAGCACTTGGGCTTCTACACCTACTTCAACAAAACCGTCTACCTCAGCGGCGACGCCTCGTCCGACCGCGTTGGCGGCTCCACCGCCTCCGACTCCAACTTCATCATCACCTGGCTCTCGGCGCGCTACAAGGTGGAAATCTGGACGCGGCAGGTCAACGCCACCCGTCTGCTGGGGTCGCAATCCAACGGCGGGGCTGCGACCAACAACAGCACGCGCCCGGGCACCTTCCCGTACCCCGTCACGGTCACGCTGGATACCCATGGCGGAATCCCGGGAAGGAAGTTTGCGTTTAGTCGCGGGGTCGGAGCCGGCGGCAACATCTTGATGAACGACACCAAGTTTATCCTGAATAATATGAACCAGACGGGTGATTGGATCAACCCCGGCGCGACGTTTAATCCGAGCTTTGGAGGGATGGATGGAGGTACCGGAGGGTGTCAGTGCAGGTATACCAACTGGGTGAAGTTGAATGCAGGCGATGCTTGATCGCGGAAGGGATATAGTGGGGGAGTTTGGAGTTATAAATGCATATTAGGCGCAGGGATTTCAAAATCATTGCTTTCATGTTTCTGTCTTCGTTTTTTCTCGAGTTTTACATCAAAGATGATGTGTCTATACCAGGTGTTTGTTGGGAAGACAGGTGAACCCACTTACAAAGAAGATACCATAGAATTGTTCAAGCAGAATATTTACCAGATCAAAACATGCGCGGAAGTGATAGTCTATTCAGTAATCAAAACACTTTGATGAACATGGCAAGTTAGAGGTGAAATGGGGAAGAGGGGAAGGAGCGTTTACCCCCTGGTCCTGACAGCTGGCCAGTGGCCGTCGCCAGCTGCAAATGAGTGTCCCGGCTTTTCTTTCTCAAACAACACCAACTCACCCATCAAGGTACTCCATCGTCAACACTTCCTGCGGTTTGAAGTAGATGAACGCTTGCGGCCGGGAAGTGACCTTTTGCTGCGCCGGCTAACACTGGGCTCTTTACTGGGAACTTTCGACTTGGAGGTTAGGTGAGCGCGGTCCAGCTCTCAGGTGAGCACCATCGTGGCCGGAAGCCCGATTTGGCAGGCGTCGAACGGCGGACACTCGACCAAGAGGAAAGAAGACTCGATATAAACCAACATGAGGAACCTACAACTTGTCCACGGTGCTGGACCACGAGCATGGACAGCAAGAGCAAGTTTGGGCATCAGTCATGTTCGACAGCAGCCACGGTATATAAAGCGAGCATCTCCCCCCAGAGCCATGAGCACATCTCATGAGCCAACATCAACACCAACATCCACTCAAACATCAACACAAGAATCAACATCAAACATGCATATCTACAATCTCAGAAAGGCTCAGGATAGGCCTGCGCCGCCGCGGCACAAGCAGGAACAGGAAAAACTGCTCGGACATGTCACGCAGTTCAAGCGCCAGAAAGAACTCCTGACCTTGGCCATCGAGACATCCTGCGACGACACGTGCGTTGCCCTCCTTCAGAGCTACGAGAGCACCGAGAGGACCGAGAAACCCGAAATGGTGGCCCGCCTACTCTTCAACAAGAAAATCACGTCGGACCAGCGCCAGTTCGGCGGCGTCCACCCGGCCATCGCCGTCGAGTGGCACCAGCGGCACCTCGCAACCCTGGTCGAGGAGGCCATCCGGTCTCTTCCTGAAGACGGCACCCGGGGCAACGCGTCTTACGCAACTAGCAGACTGAAGTACAGAAGCCCCGACCTCATCGCCGTCACCCGCGGCCCCGGCATGCCCACCAGCTTGGCCACCGGCATGGAAGTAGCCAAGGGTCTGGCGTTGGCCTGGGGCATCCCGATCGTGGGCGTCCACCACATGCAAGCCCACGCTCTCACGCCGCAGCTCGTCTACGCTCTAGACCGCTCCTTCGCTGCTCCCAGCCTCGCATCATCCCCATGGGGACAACGCCAACAACGGGTCGTCGATCCCGAACTAAAAGCAGCATCAGAAAAGCAGGAAGAAGAGGTTGATCAGCGCACCGCCAACCTCGATTACCCCTACCTCAACCTGCTCGTCTCGGGCGGCCACACGCAACTGGTCTACTCGGCCTCCCTGACGTCGCATCTGATCCAGTGCACGACCGATAACATCGCGCTAGGCGACATGCTCGACAAGGCCGCGCGCAAGATCCTTCCGCCCTCGGTCCTGAACTCGGGCCAAAACGTCATGTACGCCGCCGCGCTGGAGCGCTTCGCCTTCCCGCGCTTCGCCACCGGTGCCGACGAGAGGGAGTACAACTTCAAGTACACACCGCCTGCCACCCGGGCGGCCGAGATCGAGCAGCACAACTCGCCGTACGGCTGGCACCTCTCGCCGCCTCTGTACGCCTCTAGGAAGATGGAGTACAACTTCACGGGTCTCGGCTCGCAAGCGCAGCGCATCGCCGACTCGCTGGACGGGTTTTCTTCATACGAGAATTGCCAGGACCAGGTTCTTTCGCGGGAGGACTCTCCCGCCGAGTCCGGGTCCGGAGTCGGGTCCGACGACATGGCTCCCTCACCCGCAGACTCTTCCACTTCGACCGCTCTCCTCTCGCCGGCCCTCAACGAACAAGACCAGATGGAGCAGCGCCGCTACCTGGCGCGCGCGACCATGCAGCTGGCCTTTGAGCACCTCGCCTCGCGCATCGTCATGGTGCTCCAGCAGCAGGCCAAGACGTCGGGCGAAGCACAAAAGGTCAAGACGCTCGTGGTGTCGGGCGGCGTGGCCAGCAACCAGTTTCTCCGGCACGTGCTCCGTCGCGTGCTGGAGGTGCGCGGGTTCGGACACATCCGGATTATGGCTCCCCCTGTGCACCTGTGTACGGACAACGCGGCCATGATTGCGTGGACGGGGTCGGAGATGTGGAGGGCGGGTTGGGTGAGCAAGTTGGACATGCTGCCGATTAAGAAGTGGAGCATGAGTTCGACGGGCGAGCAGGGCGGCATCTTGGGGACGGAGGAGAAACCGTTTTATGTGAGGCGTTCCTCTTAAGCCGGAACCGTACGGGCAGGATTAACCCGCCGGGAGTATCGGGACTGCTACGTTGAGAAAGAACAGTGTGCTGTGTGCATGGGTGATGGGGTGTTTGGGGCGTTGGGACTTTTTGCTTTTGTCTTGTGTGTAATAAAAGTTCATCTGTATGATAGCGGCAGTCAGAAGCGTAGGGTGTATCATTATGTATAGGGATATGGCTAGAAAGGGGCCATGATCCATCAAGCGTGCGTATTAGACTTGGTCAGGACTTTGATGTCCATCACCCCTTCTTGTACAATAGTTTCACATACGTATAAAGTAGGCAATATGGCCTTGTTAAGCTGATTCATTCCAGTGTCGCGTTGTCCGTAAGAATCTAGAATGCTATGGCGACACACATTCGAGGCTCATATCGTTTCTTCATTATGTGTAGTATGCTGCTCCTGGCCAAGTGCCCATGCCTCACTAACATCCGTCCATTCAGTCCGGGTCAGTCAAGCCATATTCACTACCCCCATCCGTCGTCCCCTTCCTTCCTTAAACGCGGGTCGAAACATCCTCGTTGAAGTCGCTCGTGACGTTGCTAAACTCGCCCTTCTCCAGCTTGGTCTTCCAGAAGATAGGGTTCGTGTCGTTGAAGCCGTGCTTCTCCCATCCCGACTCCTTGACGTGGTACAAGTTGATGAAGCCACCAGAGTAGGCATCACGATGTGTAGCGGCCAAAATGCTCCTGCTGCCCAGCTCGAGCGCCTCCTCCGTCGTCAGGTCGTATCTGTACTCGGCATCCAGGACGCCATAGGCAAAAGTCTGACCGGATCCGACGCAGAACAGGTTACCCGCCAGCCGGGTGCCGTCCGAATCAATGTAGTAAAGCGCGGGCCCTTCCTCCTTGGTGACGCCGGCGCACATGGTGCCCATGGACAGGCCCATGCCCTTGTACTGGTACACCAGGTTGGCCAGGATCTTGGAGGCCGCCGCGACACTGATGCGGCGCTTGTGCCGCAGCTCGTGCAGCCGGCACTGCATGCCCAGCCACGCCAGCCAGTACTGGCAGTCGGCCGCGCCGCCCGCCATGGTGCCCAGCAGGTCGCTGTTGATCTCGATCACCTTCTTGACTGTTTGCGAGGCGATCCAGTTGCCGGCGGTCGCGCGAGAGTCCGTCGCCACGATGATGCCGCCCTGGAACCGGAAGGCGAGTGTGGTCGTGCCGTGGGCGATCTTGATGGGGCACGAAGGGTTGGCGCGGTCGTCGGTTGCGGCGCGGAGCCAGGAGGAGGGCTGTTGTGGGTGAACAAGTTAGCTTATTATCACTATCATCATCATCGTCGTCGTCGTCGTCGTCGTGGCCCGTCATCGACGGGGTCTGGCTAGCTAGGATAGGGCAAACAGGAAGAGAGATGAGGCCGGAGGGGTACTGCGAGGGGTACTGAGAGGAGGAAGGCAAACAGGGAGAGACGAACATGAGCTACTGGAGGCATGGCGAACTTGAGAGACAAAGGAGGCTGGGTTTCGCAAAGGTCTTGCTGTTCCTCTTCCGAGAAGAGCTCATTCTGCTGGTAAGCCGGACGGCTGTACCTTGCGACAAGCGCATCCATGATGGTCGATTAACTTGTTTAAATGGAGGAGGGTTCGATGTTCGGTGTGGGGTTCGGCGGTTCCCAAAGACGGTCGGGAAGCTATAGATGGTTGCGAGGGAGAGAGACGTTCGGCGGGGAGGACGACGGAAGTTGGACGACTGGTTGAGATGATGGTGATGATGTTGACGTTGAATGGGTTGTCAGTGTCACTGTTGTTAGCCTGGCAAGGTAGCAGCTACGGCGGCGTCAGCGGCAGTGGGTAGCAAGTGGAAGGCGGGCAGTTTGGAGCTCCCTACACGCAGGTGCCCACCAACCAGGCAGCTCCCCACGCACGTGTTCATCAGCTTGGGCGGGCGGCCCCGCCAGCTGGCAGCACATGAGGTACCTTTGTACTGTCTTGGCATCGAATGCCGTGTTGAGTGGTACGGCATTGAATATCAGCATTTCATGAAGATGACCGCAGTTCGAAATTTACTTATGGCCAAGGATCTTTGTTTACTACTATGCACATGATGTACAGTGGTGTTTCAATTACTCTCAGCCACATAACTAACCCTCGCTCCCCACGAAGGACCGGTCCGGTCATAAGAATGCTTCCACCATTTCTTGCGCCGCCGTGATATGGATAGGGGTATGAATGTTAGGATGAGCTGACGCGCAAGACAGGACCAGACGCGCTTTTCTTTCCTTTTGCTTTCTCCGTCCAACGCCGTGGAAATGCACCTGGCGCTCGAACGCCACCCCCAGGTCCTGCGAGCTGATTTCCCGACCATATCAGCTTCACTTCTCCGCCTGAGGGCAAGGAGCAATCAATATCCAAGCGCTCAAAGCGCAAATCTTGTTTTTCTCCCCTCTGCAAATTTTTGTCTTTCCCCAACACCAAAGCAAAGCCAAGTAAAAATTCGAAAAGCCTGCGGTATAAGCCTCCTCAACCCGTTACCGGAAAAACCGAATCCAAGCCGAACCAAACCCATAGTCAGACACGAAGCAAGACACAACTCGGAAAGTGGCATTGACTGTTTGACGATCGATATGACGAACACCTAGTCCACTCCTCCCTGCGCCAGGCTCTGCCAACTCTGAACCGAGTGGCTTTTGAAAAAGAAAGGGGTAAATGGAGAATAAAAAAGAACAAAAAAACCAAGTACCATTAAAGTAACCCTATAACACCATGGCCAATGCATGCTTTCGCGTTGTCGTGATCAATGCAACCGGAAGATCCCTCGAGACCTTCCGGGGTATATCTGCGGTTGTTGCCGCTTCGGAATAATGATGTAGGCAGGTCGTCGTCGTGGTCGTTGTTGCGGATCCACTTTTGCGCGCCATGCGCTGGCATCAGATGCCATGTTTGGATGGTAGCCCATCGAGCGGATTTGTTTTGTGTTCTTGTTTATAAGTTGAAGAACTTCAGCCGAGTCGAAATCGTTGCGAGTTCAGGTTGTTCGCCGTGGCCTCCTTCTGGAAAATGGATTGGTTAATAAGAGTGGTCTAGCCAAGTGGTAGATTATCTCTTCCACCCAACGTTCCAGATAACGTGGACTATGTCCCTGGCCGTATTTACCGTATCAATGACCCGGCCTAAAAGGCCTTCACTGTTCGAGTTTTCGCCTTGCTCGTATGGCATGAACATGCCCGACTCGGTTCTCCTCATGCCAGCTGGTTCTTTCGAAAGACTGGCAGACGAAGTTGAACGACGGAGCCCGCCGAGCGAGCCTTCCGTGGATTTCGCAGAGGACCAGTTTGACGTCGGTTCGTCGTCTTCATCCTCCTCGTCATCGCTGTCAACAAAGAATCTGCCGGACTTCTTGGCCGGACGTAACGTCTCCTGAGATGAAGAAGGGGACAGTACTGTTCCCCTAAACACACCTGTGCTGTGCTTCATGGCCGATTCCGTTGGTTCGGGGGTGTCCTCCCGATACTTGAGGGTGGTGGAGGGCAGCATGGCAATTGTCCTGCTCTCTCCACCGCTGTGGCTGTGACTTTTTGTCTTTTTCAACACAGGTCTCAGCTTCTTCCCTTTGGTCCGCTTCATCATGATTGCGTCGTCATCCGAATCGCTGTTGTAGTTGATTTCGGGCTCGACGTCGTCGTCATCGTCATCCCCTTTGATTTCCACAGCAATGCACTGTGCTACCTGCTCGTTGAAGTGGATATGCTTCCGCTCACCGCTAGGAGATACGAGACCGGAAGACACGGCTGTCGGAAACAGACTGTTGTCATTGCTGAGGCCGCGAGACGAGAATGGGAAGGTGACAAAATCGGTGTTGGCTCGGTCTAGACCAGGTCGTCGAAAACCAGTCTTCTTGAGGACTCCTTTCTGTTGTGCTTGTACGGCTGCCGCCGCCTGTTTGACGAGTGAGGACGCGGAGAGAGATCTATGAAGCATGAGCTCCGACATGCTCCTCTTTTTCAAGATGGGCTTTTTTGCGAAGGAGTTGGTCTTGGACATCCTTGCGCTGTTGTTGCTCGAGTTGTTGGAGTCTATCGAAGGACCAGTCTGCAAGGGCCCGTATAGCCATGTCACATCGCAATCTTTCAGCCTGTGAATTGTCAGTTACCCAGAACGTGACCTGGGGGGGAAACCAGCCGGAGAACATACCAGTTCAACGTTTCCGGAGAAACGGTGCCGAGGTTGTTCTTAGACTTCATCCATGTCCTCCAAGAAGCATTCTCTAGCCGAGCCGAGTTGGCATAATCTCCCCTTTTGGCAACAATAAGCTTCCAAGACGACCAAATGTCCTCCTCGCGCCAGTTGTGCGAGAGATAGTCCACATGTCTGGAAGGCTGTATCTTGATCGCCATATCGTCCTCAGCCCTTTCATAAACAAGCTCCGGAGACTCGGGTCGCGAGGTGGGAGTAGACGTATCGTTTCCAGACGGCGAGGAAGTGTACGACTGATCGGTTCGCGGACTGGGTGGGGGTCCCGCATGCTCCACATGGTTGAAATAACCGACATCCTCCTCATAACGAGGCAGGCGGCCCCCAAAGCCTCTCCTCGAAATCGCAGCTTCTAGAATATCTTCGTCATCGCTGTCCGAGGTGAGAGAAGGGTTCGTGACAGGCGTAGAAGAATCCGACAGCTCGGATGATTCGAGGTGAATGGCGCGAGGGGAAGAAGGCGCCGAAGAAGACGGGGTCGAGTGGTCGAAGGCCTTTGACGAGTGGTGATAGATGTCGCTGAGCCTCGACGTTGACGCCGACGTGTGGAAACCCGAGCGTTTTGTGTTGAACTTGGGCTGCGACTGCGATCGACGCAAGGGCGACCCGAAAAACGTATCGTCTTCGGACGTGATGACGACGGCCATGGCTGAAAATTCTGAAAATTCCTGGTGACCTGCAAGCCACCTTCTCAATCCTTCTCCAACGTGCGACTAGAAAAGTGCTTCATAAGTATCCCGAGAACAGGAGGTGACAAGGTCGGGTCTCGGCGCAAGATTTGGGTTGTCGTCGCTTTGGTGTTGGTTTCGTAGCGAGTCTCGCGAACAAAGAGGGCGAGTAGTGCAAGAATAGCGCCGTCAATCGAGATGGGACATGGGCATGTCGCGAAACGACGGGGCAAGGCTGGCACGGGTGACAGGCTGCTAAGGTAACGGTGGACTAGCGGGGATCCAAGGGCAAGAAAAAAGACAACGAAACAAGAGAAGCTCAAGCAGTGAGCGCACCGGGTTCGGGAAGGCCAGAGGGGGAGGAGTTTGCGCAAGGGAGGTTTGAAAGGGTGTTCCTTTGAAAGGGTGTGCAGCGAGGTGTGTGGTGACCGGTCCACCGGAGTGTGAAGGGAAGTTGGGTGTAGTTAAGTGAAAAGGCACTATAAACGGTTAAGCGGGTGTGGGTATCGAATGCCCGTGGTCGTCCGTGGTAGGCAGGCCCTTGTCCGGCCGCCCCTGTCAACCAGAACCTGAGAACGTGGGATGGTTGGGTCGGGGGCAGACACAGTGGGAGGGGCTCGTCGCTGCTTGGTCGACGGGGGGCGTGTGTTGTTGTTGTTTGGGGGTACCATTACTGCGGGCAAGTACACTTCACCTCACAAGTCTGGCAACCAAGGTCGCGCTGAGGTTGCCAGAGCATGGGGGTTCTGCCGCCGACACTGTTCTGTCGAGGAGTCGGTACGTCGAGGGTGGCATGTCTGCTTTATACCATAGACGGCTTGTCATCAAACGTACGCGACCGGTCGCACAATTCGGCCATACGACGGATGATGACCAAGATGATGGCAGCATGGCAGAGCTACAGGCTGTCGATGGGCACTCGACACCTGTTTGTGACGACGGCATGTTATACAGACCGAGCTCTAGGTGCTCGACTTACCTTACTTTTCTGCAATGTGGGATGTGATTCGTACAGAAAATGAGCGCGGAACCAGGCAGCTACATGGCATAGTAGTTTGACATCCAATGGACGTGGAAGGCGTTCAGAGAACCACTCCTATCGACAACCGCAGACCTTTCAAGGGTACACGGTTCTTTTTGATCCTCTCTGGGCCTCGAGTTAGTGAGGTTAGCTCGTCCAGTGCTCAACAACTCATTTCCAGCCTCGTCTATACTTTTCGAGACTCATGGAAGGGCATGAGGTGTGTTGAGTGCTGGTCACCGTGGTGAATCAACCTCACCTTAACAATCTGGGGAAGAGAGATGGGAAATTACAATTCCCAGCAAGTACCGGGGTACAGCGGCCAAAAAAGCCTGCCAGAGTCACTCGGGGATTCGCGATTGGGGGACGACTTCGGCATGGAGCAGGGGTTCCAGGTTGAAAAACGAGCTAGGCAAGAAAAAAAAAACCATGCCCAATGCTGCTCTGTTCCGTGTGCTGCCGAACCTCGAGAAAAGAAAGACAACGGCAGCGGAGGCGGTCTGCAAAGAAAACAAGCCCAAGCAAGCGTGCTCTCAAAGGCGAGCCCGAGATCTGATGAAGCAATTTCCGGTAACGAGTGTCTTTAAGGTGAGATGGCCTGGTGAGAAGGGCGCTTTGAAGTTTTCTGGGGGATAACGCGGACACGGCGGACATTGTTGGGTGAGCCTCAGGGCCACCTGAGAATGACGGAGGCTTGCGGTTGGCCCGCTTCACCACGCTGAAGTGTTCTGGATGGCCCGGCTGGAATGGAATGAAGCGGACAGGGGGCAATAGGTAAGGCACACAAGGCCCGTGTGACCTTGTTCGGCTTCTCAACGGCTGTTTTTCTTGTAGTCAAAAGCGGACGGGAGTTTGTGTCCAAGCGTCCATGAAATGAGCATTGGTTTCATGCTTTCATTTATTGACTCGGTCCTCGGTCCAGGGCTTCCATGCTTCTTTGCTCAATTCAATCTCTTGGTCGGGTCGTCCGCGGGTTCTTGAATCCGTCAACTTGTCAAGGCCCTTTGGTCACCTCTTTGCTCCTCACCGGTCTATAAGTTCCGGCCTACACCGGGAAGTCAGGTTGGTTGGACACATTGACTTTCAACGACGACAACCCCGATCTCGAGTTATTCCGGAACGCCGTCCCTTGCGACCCCCGCACTGCACCAGCACAGACGGGACGAAAATCGGGCGGATAAGTCGACATTTTCAAAGCGCGCCCCCCCGTGCCTGTAACTTGTGAAAAGCTTCTTCAAATCCAGGCCATCACGTCGCGCGGCAACCCCCGCGCTTCGGACCGTCATGGGGGTGTACAGTGGTACTCGAAAAAGGTCGTTTTGGTCATCAGGACCATCCAGAAGGAAATTTCAATTTCAACCTTGGATGGCACTCGGTGACAGCGTCTCATTGGTCGCCCCTCGATTCTTCAAGCACAGGGCAGATTCTCCACCTGTAATGTACCGGTACCTGGGAGTCTAGAAGGAAGGAACCACTGGACAGGTACAAACCAGGGGAACAGCCTCGCCCCCGGCCTCGCTTGGACAATCGACACTTCCTCTTCCGTTTCCAAATTCAATTCCTTCCAGAAACCGAAGACGACATGCAATCAACTCGGCAATTCAGCATTTACACACATGGCACGTGATATGATGAACGAGCATGACACCTGCCGACGTATCCAAGCATGCTCAAGCAACAACCACTTGCATTGTTCCGACTTCTCCCGCTTCAAGAAAGGATCTCCCTTCATGGCTGCCATCATGGCTCCGCCCGGCGAGCCCGTCAAACGTCAATACCGTGTTTAATTGTTAGTCTCGAACCAGGCTTTTACAGCCCGGGCATCATCGACAGCCGGCAGCTCCCACATCTGAACGGGGGCCATTCAAGATGCACATTTGGAAGTACATACCCAATCCCCCGAGCTGGCTTACCCCGCCTTTGACAACTGAAACCCGCCCCAAGTATATGAATGGAGATATGGAGATGCTCGTGACCTGTTGGTTGTACCGGCAGTCAGCAAGCAACAAGCAACTCACGACAAGTGGTTCGCAGTGGTTTGGCACCTCTCGCCCCGGCAAAACCGGACAGCCCGTGAGGCACATGGGCTTGGGTTTCCAAAGGGGAAATCATGGTGTTGAGCCTTGGGGGATCCGTCGTCACGGGAGCAAAACTCTTGACCTGTTAAGGCGGTTAAGCGGTTACCCCGGACTTTGATCCCCAGAAACTCCACCCCCTCCATATTTCCTCCATGCAGTGCCTGTACCACGGGGGCGTTAAATTGCGGAATGTGTGGAGCAATCCCCAGAGCTGGGCCCGGGAAACCAGATGAAACCGATCAGCTACATACACAGCCTTCCAAAATGGATTTGCATTCTATGCTGTAGGTATTCGTCACCCCTATCCATCAACATGTCCTCCGGGTGAGCGGGTTTGGTGATCCCCTCGGTTTTACGCAGTACCTACGCTCGCTATCGGCCAAAGGACGGGGGTAAAGACAGGACGGGATGATGACGACGTCGGCGGCACTTTCTTGCTTCTTCATCAACCCAAGCTGTAGTTGTCGGCATTACCTTTACATAACAGCAACTAGCATAATTTGGCAGCCTCAGAAGATGTAAAGGAGACATCAAGTTGACAGCTCATTGCGTGCTTACCGAGTTGCTCCTGATTCCACATCTTTACCTACAAGCACTGCTGTGCGTTGTCCTTGGCGAGGAGAAAGGAGGGGCATGTTGCAGCCGCGATGCATTGTCTGGACGACAATCGAGAAGTCAATCCAAATCTACGATAGACATTGTGAGTTCTCACTTTCTTTGCTACCGCCAATGGATTCCAAGGCGAGAACAAATGCCCGGAAGCGAGGAATTGAGTATCGTTTTCGGTATGAAGGGCCTTTGCCGTGAAGACATCTTCCATCTCCTCAGATCAGGAACGACATAGAGACACAGGAGCACATATTCTACTACGGAAGCACACTAGGAGACTAGCTATGTACCTACCTCCCTGTGGGCAACTATCACCCGTTCACTCACGTTACACGAGAACCTCCCGTTCCAACTGGAAAGCCTCAGGTGGAGTCAAGATAGTCCCAGATCAACGGCCACCGAGGGCCAGAATGAAGGGCAGAGAATGGCGATCCAAAGCTGCTGCTGCTATTTATATAGGGATTGGTCTACCGATCAACGACCAAACAAAGCCGCAGAGCGACACAATGTCGTCAGAGCGTAAATCGAAATATCGAATCCCAAGAGCACAATACCTCTACAACGTTTACTTTGAATCTTACAAGGGTTCAATGATGAACCGGATCGCTGTTAAACAACTGGAGTCAACAAGGACCTGGCAAGTCTGCTCGGACGAACTCGGCCGATCCGATGGTCGAACGGACATGGGATGACAGCACGGGGACCCAGCATGTTAGGACCTCTGACGACATCACCTCATATACCGTGCCGGTTTGAGGGCCTGCGTAGCTCTACGGTATCCAACTCGACAAGTTTGGTATGAGGTAATGGCTAAGGAAATAAGTCTTTCGTTGGATTAGTTGTACGTCCGAGATGACAATATCATTCGGCATCTTCACCAGTGTCATCACCAACGGGTCCTTCTATTCTTACTTATCTTCTTTGCAGCTTTGAAATACCGGCGAGGCTGTATTCAAAAAGAGGTTCAGGCGCTCGTCTTGCTTTTATTGGATGACACGACAACTGCAGCTCTTACTACTATCAAGTACCTCTAGTCAGTGTACCTTTTCTCATGTTCTACCAGTTACGGGTTTTATGTACAGTGAAGCTCACAACTTTTAGTGTGCAACGATCTAGCTTTATCTCCGCCATTCGTGCAGGGACACCTCGCCATCGGAAAAAAAGAAGTCGGGCGCTCACCTAGCCGGTGAATTACTCCTTATCCAGAAGCTTCATACCAGGGCGTTCACACTCTATACTCTATAGCGATTGGATGCCGGTGATTGGCCAATCATTCTCCCACCTTTAGAGATGCTTAGGTCCGATAAGACTTTACATCTACCCAGAGCCGTTCATTGTTCCCCATCCCCGAAGAGGACTTGATGACCACCAGCGGGACGGAAGCGGGACACTGGGAAGCGAGGGGACATTGACAGATGAGATCGGAAAGGGTACCGGGAAGGAAGGGGGTACTGGACCCCTTGTTCCCTTATCAGTTCTTTGTTGTCCTTCTGGAACGTACGTTGTCAAGCAACGGGGGAACCGGTGTCTCAGATTTTCACTTTTCCCTGCCTTATCTTGCTTTGCTTTTAACCCGGTCAACAACGTCTTACCGGTCTTTCGAGACATTCACAGCGAGTTCGAGAGCTCCCGCCCGTCCCTTATCGCCGCACTCGGGTCACCCTGCCACCAAGTTGGTATTCCGTTGCATCCAACGTTCCCTGATTCCTTGTCAGTACATACATGGTCCTTTTTCTATCATTGCATACGATACATATGTGATACTTCTTCTCCGTACCCTCCACGAACTACTGTACTGTACACCGTTCAGAAGCTGGTGGTGTGTGTATGTACACTATCAGATAACTGGCTTCAACGAGCACAAAGACATGCGGGTATGCGAACTCGGTCCGCGGATGTGTGTTCATCTTTGGGTATACCACCACACCCTGCCATCAACCAACGATGTGCCTTGCCTCATCGACCGTTGGCTGCATTTCCGGGGAGTCTCATTGCATCGATTCCTACCCTCCTATACTACTGCCCTGGGCTGAATGTTTACAAGTCGAATGTGACATTTGAAGAAGAGGGAGATTTTCTCCGGACCTATCGCGCACATATCCTCTTCTGGCCTCCTCTCCGGATCCCTATTGGTCGGTAAATATTGGGGGACTTGCCTATCCTTCTAGGATTTCCGCAAGGATTTGTTAGCTTCATGGGCGTTGCGAACGACCTGTTGATAAATTGCTGGTCTCAGACATCTAGACGTTGAAGAACTATAGCTTCCGTGTAACCCAAACCCCACGCACCGCACACCTTCTTGGATGCCAAAACTAGTAGGTAATTCATCAACCATTCATAAGCTTTTTAAAATATTCCGCGGCAAGACATTGACCTTTATCGTGGTCCTGCATATCGACAAATTCATCAATTCCCATCACACCAACACAACATGGAATTTCCGACGTCTCACGAAGCACAACAACACCCATTACATACCTATAAAATAACATCATTTCACTACTAAACACCTGCGCACACGCCGAGGGAGTGTACTATAGTCTACATGATACTATGTGTAAGTAGAGTAGCACTGGCGGAAACGCCATGCGTTGACCGAGTCATGCAAGCTATCTAAATCTCTACCTACAACCACCACCCGCTTCATCTATCCATCTATCTATCTACCTATCTACGGTACCAAGAAAGCTCGAACCTCTTCGCCCATGACACCGAACGACGACCCCCTCGTCAATTTTTTTTTCTTTTCTTTTTTTGGTTTCTTACCCGACCCAGATGAACTCACTACTCCAGCTTCAAGTGCGGTAATGGCCTGTTTCTTCTTGCCATCCAGAACTCGGGCCGATGCGCGCAACACGAAAACAGTGGCAGCTAGACGCCATCCGAGGGATATCTACCTTGCCTGGCACCTGGTTCATCTGCACCTGCCAACTCTTTTTCAGTGGGAGAAAGAATGATTCAGATCGGCAAAGATAGTTCCACGAAATCCAACACAGTTCAAACTACGAACTTCTTGAAAGGCTTCTCGGAGAGAGAAGGTGCCAACGACGACAAGGCAAGGAGGCTCCTCCGGCTGTGCATTAGTGAATTCAGAACCTCCGGCTTCCACTTGGAAGCTACGGAAGCTACAGGGCTTTAAACTTTTAGGCCAATGTCACTCTGTTTTGAGTGGTTCCTTCCATGACTGCACCCACTCAACAAAAAAAGGAAGCGACAACTAATCGACACCCAAGATCCATTCCACGGAGAAAAAAAAATAATATCTTTTTCATCCCAGCCTCCTCCTTCCTTCCGTCCCCCTGGGACTTTTGAAACATGAAAGTTGAATGTGGCCAACAGCGCTGCATCGACATGGGTTACAACCTAACCACCTTGAAGAATGTACGAAAAGGGAAGGGGAAGAAACCAGACCGCCAAGCGACGCCGTTCGACTTCGTGGCATGGCCAAACAGGTTCATGGTGCGGTAGACTCGGAGATAACGCCAACACTAAAACCTAGCTTACTCGACGGTCATGCAGAAGAAGGTAAAAGAAAACGAGAGGAAGGTGTTTAAAAATGGAAATTGTATGTTGTCTCACCGTTACCGGAGATGTTGACCGACTGATAGAGGCCAAAGGCTAGTGATATCAACGAAGTCGAGTCAAGCTTCGATCCGTCAGCATGCAGGTCCTTTACCAGATGTGATTGGCCGTACAACGTGGGGATAAAACCGACTTGAGTGAGTCTTTGCAAGCCACGGAAAGAAAGACAGCAAGGATTCCAACACCTGTACCTGTCTATCCTTCATCCACTTTTCCTTCCTGTCATGTCCCCATTTGTTGATTTGTTCAAGTCCAAAAGCTGAGGTGGAGATAGCACTAGCGGTGGTTCTAGTATGCGTTCAAAACACACACCCAAGAGTGTGCCCATCGATCACATCATCATCATCATCACCATCACACTTCAGCAGTTCTAACAAACGAACCCGAGCGTATCGATTCCCTGCTCACTCGGTGGTAGGTAGATAGACAGATTGCCTTGGTGCTTTCCAGTTATTCACCATGATATTGGAATCATGACGCCTGGCTGCAGCGGGTGACGATAAATCCCCTTCTTGTCTCCAAGTGACCCACGCCTCATGATATTGCCCCTTTGCCTGGCTAGTAGCTCAATACGCAACCCTAGGATAGAGAGGATAAATACGAACTAGGTAGACAAAGAAAAATTCCAAGATCTTCGATGACAAGTCCTCTCCCAAGAGTCTCGGCAATATACGAGCAATCCATCCATCCATCCTCTCCCAGCTTGCACTTGAAAAGAGTCATTCATGGATGAATGCCATGAATCGCCAAGTACGTAGAGCGCCCGTGCTAGTAGTAACCTCCCTGCCAGTAGCTAGTTAGCTAGTACCTAGCTCCTTCTAGCCATCCATCCATCCATCCATCTTTAACGACCTCCCTTCAATCAGTCCCTCTTCGCAAAAGCCACCTCCCTCGGAATCCTAAAGCTAGCGCAAAACATCCTCTTAGCCGGCGCCACATCCCTAACATCATGAACCGCCACCTCGCCCTCCACATCCGGATTACCCGGCTTAACAGGGAAACCAAGATACTTGGTGATCCTCTCACAAATATCGTTGAGCGGGGTCTCGTCATCGGCCTTGAAGGAGAAGCAGTGGACGTGCACGAGGGGCAGTTTGCGACCTTCAGAAAAAAGGTCCTCGTGGCCGGTGTACACGCCGCGGTAGCAACCCAAAAACTCGATGGCGGTGGCGGGCAGGTTCATGACGAAGTGCGAGATGGTGGGCGGGACGTCGACGCGCTTGGGCTCGGAAAGCTTGGGCGCCTTCTTGGCGCGCGAGGGAGGCCTTGGTGCGATCAGGACGTGCTCGCCGTTCTGGTGGGCTTCGAGGACCGAGTCGGCGGCGTGGTGGATGAAGGTCCGGCCGTCTTCGCAGAAGGGGCGGACGTATTGGGATACCTGTATGTATGCCAAGTTAGATCTCAAAATATATAAGACAAGAAAGTATAGAGTTCATTCATACCTTGTTCCTGCTGATAGCCACCTGCATATACTTGTTACTCTCGGGGTTCATGTCGTTAGCCCAGACAAAGACGCCCTTCTTGCCAGCGGGGACAGCAAAGGGGCCGATGCCAGCCATAACATCGCACACCACCTCGCCGGGCTCGAACATGTTGATGAGCCTGCGGTGCTCGGCCTCCAGCTTGCTGTTCCAGTACACCTTTGCGTAGTCAAACTCGAAAGTGCAGGCGTTCTCGGTAACCTGGACTTGCATGTCGTCGGGACCAGCCAGAACCTCGTACTGGAAGGTTCGGAACTCGGACTCGGCTCCGACATTGTCGACCTTGTTGATGACGGTTCGGATGTTGGTGGTCTTGTCCAAGATGACCTCGGCGATCACCTTCTTGTAGGGGATATAACGCTCGCGAAGGTTCATGTGGGCTGGACTGATGTTAGAACATGCTGAGAGGACGGGAGGCACAGTGACCACGCTCACTTACCGACATGACCAGCGGTGTTGAAGCCGGAGGGGATATCGTCATGAAGTTCCTCGGGGAGAATAGAGGTGATAATATCATCTGTAGGCAACGTTAATAAGGTGACACTGGTACAAGTTGGGTATTGGATTCAGGTTTCATACGATATGTCCAGTAGTCATAGTTGAGCTGGAGCTCATAAGGAATGACAGACAACTCCTTCTTCTGAACACCTTCCTTGAGAGCAGCTCCCCATGTTTCTGGTTCTGGAAAAAGAAGACAAAGAATTAGTCTTTTAAATGTTTCTATTGGTTTTCGAAAATTTCTAACCTGGTGCCTTGACGTCGGGGCTAAGAAGCAGACACTTCTTTCCTTGGTCGGCAAGGGTCTTGTCTGGGTGGTTCACAATAGGGGACAATCTGTCCTGGCGCAGGAGCTCCTTGCTGTGCTCAAGCTCTTTTCTGTACTTGGATATAAGACGGTTGTCGTTGACGGCGGCGGCAGCCAAGTTGACAGTCTTTGTGAACAGAGCCCGGTTGAGGGCGCCAGCGCCTGAACGAACTACGGGTGGGCTGAAAATGGCCATGTCTTGAGTTTTCCCTTCCCCACTCCCCTGATTTTCCTTTTCTGATTGAGACATGGTCAGTGAAACTGGTTTAGACAACTCGATAAATTGGTGGAGTGTCCTGTTTCTTTGGAAGCTCAACTTACCTTTCGTAAAATACAAATTGGGCGAATGAAGTGAAACTTTGTTACGCGGCAACCGCAAGGCTAAACCACAGTAAACAGAGAGCCCCACCAAGATGTGGCTGATTTATCTTATCTCTGTTCTTTAGGACAAGGCTGTATCGTAGCGTAACGTCATGAGTGGCTGATACAGGCACATGTCCTGGATTGCCCATTGTATCTCTTTACATATTACTTTGATATCGTCTCTTGCCATGTTAGTTAGTCCGAGCCGCAATCCATTTTCAGGTGATCAAACCTACTCTCAGTTCATTCTTGTTCCCGGCCCAGCTTTGTCTATCCTCACCGAAGAGCAGACATTCTTTTTCCTGTTAACGAAACTTCCAATGCACTAAATGAAACAATGTTGAACACATGAAACTCCCCCGCTCGCATGCTGTCAGAGTCTGAAGTCTATAACCCTATTTCACATGTTAACCACCCATTGAATCCAACCACTGCGTCACTCGATCGCATTCAAGTTCCAGCCACTGAACACTTGGTACTGCTCGGTTCATCACCTTCCCCAGCGCATTTGTGCACCGGCATACTTCAAAAGACCCCGGTAGAAGACCTGATAGTTGACTCCCTCATTGTCTTGGACATGGGAGATCTCGGTCAAGCGGACTTGCCATGGAGGATAGCCAACAAGTTCGACACGAGGACCGAACAAGAGAAGGAGGTCTGTTTCGCCCATGACACTCTCGCTCAACTCGGCATCGACTAGTTCGATTGTGATATCCGAAGTCGAGATCTTGCCCCGCTGGGACATATCGGCAAGGGTTTTGGTAAGATCGACAATGGAATCGCGGCCGTCCTCAGCTGACAGAATCATGACTGAGAGATGCTTGAGGCCCTCGTTCTCGATACGGCTTGCGGCAAGAGTTGGGGCCGTCTCGATCGAGGGGCAGTGAGGTGCTCTAATACCAATGCCGGGAGTGTTTGGTCCGAAGTATGCAGCGAGCTTTTGTGTCATGGATCTGTGAACGCGAGGAAGATAACCCTTCAATGTTCCTGTTTGGTGGGAATGTCAGTAGTCTTTTCTTTCTTAGTTTCTTAGTCATCCACGTACCGGTCTTCTCATAAATGGAGAGTTGGGGAATACGGGCACTTGCGCACCAAGCAGCAATGTCCGAAGCTTCCTCGATCAGCTTGGCCAAGCCGGTACCGCCTCTAGCGTCCTCGTCCAAGGTCAAGATAACACTCAGGTGGTTTGGTAGCCTTCGAAGGTCCTTGACATCGTTGTAAATCAGATCGGGCGCCCGGTGATGGTGGTGATAGACGGAAGACACTTTGTTGACCACTTGGTGGTATGCTTGGCGGATTCGGATGTAGAGCGAGAACAGGGCATGTATGATGGTAAAGACCAGCAGGTGCCAGTGCCTCTTTAGAAAACGCCGTACTCCCAGCCTCTGTTGCTCTTCCATTGCTCGTTTGTTGGCTTGCTCCGAGGGGTGCAAAGGGGGCGAAGGCAGATAGGGCTATCCAAAAGGTTAGTAGTCAACTCTCTAAACGCATCAGGAGCAGTCGTACCTTGAGCAGCCTGATCCTCTCTTCGGGGGTAAGCATTTTGTGGCCAAGTTTCTCATCGCGCCGGTAGGCCTCGATATCCCGTGGGTTGAACATGTTGACGTGGAGGCTGTCGCGCAGCGGTCGTCCCAATGGGCCTTGTTACACCTCGGTCGCGCAATCTGTGCGATATGACGGGACGAATGTTCGGACGACAACGGGTCTCGGGACAACCGCAGGATAGACGGCCGATACAGAAAAGGAGCGTTGAAGAGGATGATGGATGCAGTTCAAAGTCTATCCACCGCTGAAGGTCAAGTTGCGCATAAAACGAGAGAACAGAAAGAGAGGCCGACGAGAAAAGAATGGAGCCAGGCCGCTGATGGTTCCATAAACTGCTGATTGCTTGCAGCTATCATACCCAGTTGGCTACCGTAGCACCGTAGTCAGTAGCGGGAAATCATGGCAGCTTCCCTCGGAACGGCCACGAGATCCCTGTCTAATGTCAGATTATTTCGGGAAAGAACATCTGAAAGTTCCCCTCTGTTCCCCACCAAAAACCTGTCCTTACGACTTGCAACTGTGGCTGAAGGATGCGCAGGGACCAGGCTGAAGTTGGGCCAAAATTAAGTGGGGCATACTCAAGGGTGGTGGGTTCAATTCCCCAACCCGTGCCCGCAGAGGTACCCGCGACAGGGGAACGACATCCCGCCTCACGACCCTCTGGAACTCCCCCGGACAGCCCCTGGCCATAGGCCTGACGGTGACCACTCAACCTTCCATACCTTCCATTCAAATGGGTTGATACGACAACAGCTCAGCAGCATCGCGGAATGCATCTACGACTACACCGACAACCACTTCAACTCGGATAACTTGGACTCTCTCGGTCTGCCTGCCAGGTGACACACGCCGCCATGGAACGCGGCGGACCCGGCAGCACGAGGTCCCCCGGCCCCGGGCTCTTCCCCAAGGGCCCCAGCTTCACCATCGACGACTTCTCCAGCAAAGACTTTATTGTTCGCGACTTTGTCGACTCCCTCGCCGACACCGCCTTCCCCGCCAACCGCCGCTCCGGCCCCACGAGCGCGAGCACCCCCTTTGACCCCAAGCCCCTCATCCGGACCTTCGAGAATGCGCTGTCGCAGTTGGGCGCCCTGAGCGAGGAATTGCAAGAGAAGGAATCAGAGCTCTTATCCCAGGTCCGGCGAGCAGAGATCCAACATGACCAGACACTCGATACCCTTGGTCGGAAGCTGGACCAGTCCATGGCCCAGTTCGAGGCCCTCGACTTGACCCTCAACAACCCCAGCGCACACAGCGGCTCCATGAATGGACACGCCCGACCTGATGGCGGAGGAAACATTGCCGTTCAGATCGGAGAGAAACTGGAGGAGCTGGATAGGAAACGGAGGAAGGCGCAGGACGCCAACTTCCTGATTCAGTGCTGGACAGAGGTTTCCGAGACAGGCCAACTCACCTCGCTCGAGGAGATTCAGAGACAGGGCGGTGCCGAGAACAAGGTTCGCTGCGCCGTCATTGCTCGCCAGCTTATGCGCATCAGTCAGAGACTAGACCCTTTTTCATGGGTAACAAATGGCTTCCGTGCCAATGGAATCACCAACGGCGCTACTGGTGTGACCCGGAAGCACAATACTAGGGAGGCTCTCGAGAGGTTCTGCGAGCATCTTGAGCAAGACCTTCTGAAACAGTTCAACAACAGTTACCGACGACAAAACTTCGACGACATGATGGAATGCGCAAAGGTCCTCTACGATTTCCACAGCGGTGCCAGCGTCATTGCCGCCTTCGTGAACCAGCACCAGTTCTTTATCGACCGAGACGTGCTCATCACCGACGAGGTCACGACAGATGGCGAGATGTGGGAGCAACTGGCTGACCCCGATGCCGACCCACCAGGCGTCGAGCCCAGTCTGCAATCCCTTGTTGATGAAGTCAAGATCGTGATGCAGGAGGAATCCTTTATCATTAAGCGTGCCTTCCCATACTACGAGACAGTCCTCATCAAGTTTATCCAGCGTGTCTTCCAGCAGTCTATCCAGCAACGACTTGAAATGCTACTGGACAAGGCGACGACAATCTCTTCGCTGGCCTATCTGCGCTCCTTGCATGCGTCGAGATCCTACATTGGGGCCCTGGTGGAAGATCTCAAGACCCACGGTCTTACAGAGCACCCAGAACCATGCTCGGCGCAAATATCACAAACGCTCGATCAGCAACTAGAGGAATTGTTCGTCCCCTATCTGCTTGGAAACTCGTATATCGACAGGGAAAGGAAGAGTTTGGACGAGTTGTACAACTCGTTGCTCTTCAAGTTCACCTTGTATCACTCACGCAGAAAGAAGGCTCCTTCGGGCTTCATGGCCGCCATTGCCCAACAGGGCACCCAGCTTTTGGCAAGTGCTAAAGACGCATATATGGAGCGGCTCGATTCGTCGGACCTTACGCCCACTCAGCAGCGTATGATGTTGAGGGTTGCCGGTCTGCAAGACAACAGCACTAACAAGAACGAGATCGAGGTCTCGGAGGAACACGGCCGCCTGAGCGTACAGAACGCCAAGCGCATGATCGTCTGGTTGGCCGAAAGCGTGCGCAGGACGCTGGAGATGGGTTCGGGAAGCGAAACACCCAAGGACATTAACGTCTTGCTCAACCTTCTCCTCACCAGCATGGGCCAGGTCTATGTTGAGACTGCCCTCGATGCCGCCCTGGACACGGCCACGTCGCAAGAGAACATCAAGACGGAACCCGACCTTTCCTACCTCCCCCACATCAAACCGGCCGTCACCATCACGAACCTCATGTCGCGCTTCATCACCACGGTGCTGATCCGGCTTGCCGAGTCCAACACGGCCCTGCGCCGCAGTATGGAGGCCCAAGCCAAGCAAGCCATCGAAGCCACGGAGCGCAAGACCAACGCCGTCCTCAAAAGCACCATGGACGTGGCCGTCAACTGGGTCGCCAAGATCCTGGCGGGCCAGAAGAAGACGGACTACCGGCCTCGTGACAACGACCTCGAAGGCTTCGTCGATCTGCAGACGCCCACCTGCCAGGCCATCTGCACCTTCTTGGCCTCCAAGGTGGCGGCGCAGGCCGCGCTGGCTATCGACGGTCACAACCTCGAGCTGTTCAGCTCGGAACTTGCCCTGGCCGTCCACTCGCTCTTGTTTGAGCACTTCAAGAAGTTCTCGGTCAACGCCACCGGTGGCTTGATGGTAACTAAGGATATCGCCAAGTACGTGTCGACAATGAAGGAGTGGCCGTTGACCAAGGAGGTGCAGGCGATTGTCGAGCTGCTTACCGAGGTCGGATATCTGTTTATTATTGGGCCCGAGGCCCTTCGCGAGCGTTCCAAGTTTTTATCTTCGGGTAGTGGTGGAGGAGGAGGAGGTGGTGAGGGTGGTGGGGGTGCCGCTGGAGGTGCGGCAGGCGGTGGTGGTTCGGGCAAGAAGTTGCAAAAGGCGGATTTCAAGGCTTTTGTGCAGAAGAGAGAGGATGCCGCTACTCCGGGTATTCAGGGCGTGCTGGCTGGGCTGTAAGAGGCGGTATGGTCCGGTCGAGTTAATGAAGACGATATAGCAAGATTTGTGAGGAGGAGAAGTAGTCCAGTTACCAAGTTGAGATACGGGCTAAGCATATGTGATATCTATTATTTAGTAATTTGTCAAACCACATAGTTCAGCGATTTTGATAAAAATGGTTGCGAGTCTACTAATGGTCACTTCGTGATTTCGGACAAGACGTAATAACATTGATACGCTACTAGTCCTTCATCGTAGAAAACGTCCTTACTGACGTGACTATCAAATCAATCTTATCCCCTCAACCACCCAGTCCTTCCCTCCTAGGTAACTACCATCGCTATCCCCATTCTCCAGTTTTCTAAAAACCACACTCACCAACACCGAAACCACACCAGCTCACTCACGCACTTTATTCCTCCTCCCTTCCCGTCCTCTCGCTCTCCGATTCCCCCTCAACAACCAACGGGACAACAACAGTCAAAACCCCATCCTCCAACCTCGCCTTGATCCGCTCGTGATCCACTCCACCGTACTGCTGCTGCTGCTGCTGGTCTCCGGATGTAGATGACGGTGTAGGCATGGGCGAGTAGGTAACGAAGTTGATTTCCCTTGAGAACCTTCCGATGGGGATTCTTTCTGCTGCTGCTGTGGTGGTCCGGTTCTGAGACTGGGACTGGGACTGGGACTGGGACTGGGACCGGGACTGGGACTGGTAGTTATTTCTGCCAGTGTCAGTAGTGCCAATCGTCGTGTAGCCACCACCACCATCCTCGTCGTCGTCGTCCTCCTTTTCCCCTCCTCCAGACAACAAACCAGACCCTACTAAACCCAATCTCGTCGACTCCAATTCATAATTCAACCACAACTTCAACTCGGCGTCCAAGTTGTTAGCTTCAGACCCCTCCTGATATGTAAAAGTTGGAGGATTCAAACCACCATTACTACTACCCTTTCCACCTATTTTCTTTCTTCTTTCGCTCTCGCTCTCGCTTTCAGTATCAGATGCACCAGAATGATCGGAAGAAGAAGAAGAATCAGAAGAAGAAGAATCGGAAGAAGAAGTAGATGAATCCGAGTCCAAACCAGGATGAACACTCCGATACAAAACCCCACTGAGCGTCAAGATGTTCGTGTTGGGGTCGTAGGCGACGCTGATGTCTCTCCGCTTGGCGCCGGGGATGGCGAGTTGGATGGTGAAGGATGTGGGGGAGGATTGAAAGATTTCGAGGGGTGAGGGTGGGGAGATGAGGGGGGGGATTTCTTCGTCTTGTTCTTCTTCTGGTTGTGCTTGTGCTTGTTGTTGATGCGGGTTGGTAGTAGTCGAGGTGGTGGTTTGGGTGACGGCGATGCTGCGGAGGAACGATTGGCAATGATGATGACAATGATGACAACAGTCGTGCCACTCGTCGTTATCTTGGTCGTCGTCATCACCATTATCGTTTTCGTCCTTGGAGGTACTGTTGTTGTTGTTGTTGTCCTTGTTGTCTGCGTTACCCTCGTTGCCAACATCTCTGTTCTTGTCGCCCTTCTTGTTGTCCTCCTCTTCGTCACTATCTTCAATAAAGCACCAACTCTCATCATCAGAAGAATCGGTTTCCTCCCCTGGGGCTGTGACAATAATGTAATCCTCTTCCTCTTCTTCCTCTTGGTACTCCTCCTTTTCCTTCTCCCCCACATCTTTCTGCTCTTCCTGTTTGCCCCCATGACCCTCACTCTCTCCTCCCTCACTCCCCCCATCCTCGCCATCCCCATCCTCGCCATCCCGATCCCGATCCCGATCCCCATCCTCACCAATACTCTCCAACAAAAACTCCCCCCTCATACCCAAATACCGAACTCCATGAATATACCAACCTGCTTTTCCCAAACCACCACCCAATGCACCACCCCCCTCCTCCTCACTGTTCATCCTCCGTTCGTCGTCAAAAGCTTTCATTCTCGCCATGTTAGCCAGGACCTGGAAGAGTTCGGTGTACTCGTCTTTGTCATCTTCTTCGTCTTCTTCGTCTTCCTCTACGTCCTGCTCATAACCAACATTTTCATCTCTCTGCTGCTGAGCTTGCTGCAGCTGTGGCTGTGGTGGTTGCTTCTCGGTTTCTTCTGTGTCTTCCTGTCCTTCCTGTCCTTCTTCGCCTGCTTCGCCCGCCACGATTTCCTTGTCCTTGTCCTTCCCTTTCTCCTCGCGTGATGGTCGTCGTTTGCTGTTGTTACTGGAGAGTGAAGAAGGATCAACAAGAGGTCGTGAATAATTAACAACGGGTGTTGAGGGCGTTGGGGGAGTTGTTGGCGGGTTTGAAGCTGGTAGTAGAGAGGGAGGAGGGTGACGACTGCTTGGGGGAGCAGAAGATGGCGTGTCTGTGTTCATAGCTGATTAGGACTGATTGATTTGCTCCTGTTTGTGAGGCGGTTTATAAATCGTTGTAGAAGTGGGGTGAAGATGATATAAGATCCGATGGATGGGTAAGAGTGCTTGGGAGGAGAGAAATATATTAGAAGAAGAAAGCGGATTTGACACCATATAGCTTCATAAATATCGCCGCGGACTGTTGAGTCAGGAGATGATGAAGCAGTCTTCATGTTGATTGCAGAGATGATCAACTTGTGCGATAATATGGATCATCATGAGAACTATCCGATGACCCATCTCATGAACTTGGTCTTAAGCGACTGGATGTTGCACAGGTATGACAAGCCTTCTTCGCCCAACTTCACCTGTGAAGAAGGGTCAAGCAAGCACTTCGCAATGACACAGACATGACTTGTAGCACCAGGAAGCCAAACAATCAATCACCCTGATACTATTCCAGAACAATTCCCGGACACCCCAAGTACGACACAGATTCAAAAATCTCGTGCAACCAACCTCATTCCGTCAAGCGCCACCACACCCCGTTCATCATGACTCCCCAAGTTTCTTCTATTTGCGTACTCCTATTTAGGGGGGGTATATCCAACACAAACCGCTTGTTTTTTATTAATGCCCAGAATCCACCCACGGGACATGTTAACATTACCTTGTATCATAGAAAACAAAGAAGAATTTCGCCCACTCTAAACACCTGCATGATTGTACCCAAAGACAATCAACCTTTTTTCTGCCCACTTGGTCATATCCCGCTCACCTGTTTGTACACCCATGATTTGTCGCACGTGTTGAAAGATATCCCCGTGCGTGTGTTTTCATCTGATCTCAACACCCTTATTCATCCATCGCGTCACCACCGCCAGCCTTCAGGTCCCCATCCATGACCGGATTAGCCTCTGTGGTTGCATCCCCAGCGTCACCACCTGGTGATCCAAGCCCCGTCGCGGTGCCGCCCTGCATCTTCATCTCCCCCAACTTCCTCTCCGCCTCTTCCGCCCTCTTGTTCGCCTCAGCCACCTCTTTCTGTAGCTGCTTGATATACTCAATCGCCATCTCCACCGTGCTCGCCTTGCTGTTTGGTATTCCCCCTCCAGCCTTGTCCTTATCCTTCTCCCTCTTATCTTCCTTGTCAGCACCCCCGCTGCCACCGCCACCACCACTGCTGCTATTACCGTCTCCATCCCCATCTCTCCCCTCCTTCCCAGGAACTTTCGGCAGAAGCGTGGCGATCTCCTGCAGCGCCGAGTTGATCCTGTTCCTCCTGCCTTGCTCCGCAATCTTGTGCGACGTCCGCTTCGATGTGAGATTGGTAGAAAGCTCGCTGGGATACGAGACGCCGGGAACGGTGCTGCCCTCGAGAATGCGCTGGTAGTTGGATTTGGTGGCGAGCAAAAGCGATGCTGCTTCCTCGGCACCCGTGGAACCTCCTGGTAGCAGAGGCTTGATGCTGGGCGACATCTTGGGTCGAAGGGCCGGTGAGATCTGAACCGAGGCCACGCTTCCACGCTTTTTGCTATATCTTCCCATGGGCGCAAGCTGGGGTGTCCGTTTGTGGCTGTTAGCTGAATCGGGCTTCAGTTGCGGGCTGGAAAGAGCCGCAGAGGGCAGGGCTAAAGGCTTGGTAACCACAGGAGATGGTGGTGGTGGGAGGCTTGGCGATTGTAGAGGCGCGGCGGCCTTTTGGATAGGATCGAGAGCCGGCGTTCCAAGAGTGGTGATGATAGGGGCCGGTTTTGGTGCTGACGACCAGTTGATGGAGTCCGGGAGCTCAAAGGTTTCGATATGGTCGGCATCCATTGGGTCATGAGATGCAGTTCCAGTCGGTTCAGGGTTGCGATTGCTCGGCGAACTCAGTTTCATCAGTGATGCCGGTGTCGCAGGAGAGGCGATTCCAGGCCTTCCCGGCTGGAGGGTAATAGGCACAGCGCTACTGCTCGCTTGAGGTGCCAGAAAAGGAGATGGTTTGGCGGATCGAGGCTTCGGAAGTGGTGGCGGGGGCATCTCAACTGGCGAGACAACATCATTAAGGTTATGGGGGGAGACGGATCCATTCTCAGAGTCAGTTACACCAGCTGTGGACGAAGATGAGGTCTGTAGTAGCGGCGTAGGAGGTTGTTGGCGTTCCTGACTTGGCACCGCATTCTCGATCAGTTGGTTCAAAGCTTGGGGGTTAAGCATCGGGGTGGTAGCCGTCTTTCTGCGTATCGGCTTCGAGATGGGAGACTGTTTGATGCCACCGCTGCTCTTCGCCCTGGCCTTCACTGCGTTCTTGCGCGTCTTCCTAGCCAAATCGCCTGGGCTAACGCTCGCTTGGGACATGGCAGGTGGTTCGAGTTCCATCTCCCTTGGCGAGCTCCCGCTCATCATGCCGAGCCTCTGGTCAATAATACCCAACGCGTCATTTTGCGCATGCAAGGCTGGCGAGGTAAGGGGGCTGAAGTAAGCTCCAGGGACGGCAAACGGAGTATCGATGGGGAAATGGGTCTCCAGCGGCGTGACGGCCGGTGATACCAACGGGGTGAAGGACATCTGCCATGGTTGGTTAGTAAGCTTGTTGACTTTTAGGAACAGACGTCTCTAGACCTACATCATGCTGGTCTTTGATCCTTGTATATCGGTAGTCGATGGCTTGTTGCGGCTGCTGTTGCGGCTGCTGCTGTTGCTGTCGCCCGGAGTGGTGCTGATCAGATAGTGTTGACTGGGCATAGTAATTCTGACTAGATCCAGCAGTGAGTTCCAGGCTCTGAGGTGTTGGAGGAACTATGTGATTCTGTTGGTTGGCGAAGAAGGCGGCTTGTTGCTCTTGCAGCTGCTGGTGCTGAGCATGCAACTTTTGCTGCTGGAGGAACTGGATCTGGGCATCGATGGTGTTGACGATAGCGTCCGAGGGCGTAGATGGCTGTATCAAGGCCGTCGGGGCGTTCTGATATGGCGCAGTCGTGGTAATGGTGGGCATCTGATGCTGTTGGTGTTGATGTTGCTGTTGCGCATGTTGGAGCATGGCGTGGTCTACGGGCGATAGGATCATGGACATGTCAGTACCAGTCATGGGGGTGTCCAGCTGCTCTCCCCCCGACGAATGTAGAAGATGGTCGGCGGCATGGTGGCCAGCATGGTGGGCGGTATGGTGGTCGGCCGCAAAGTCGTGAAAGTCAAAGTCCAAAGCCCCAATATCGTTTATATCCAAGAACTGGTGGAAGTCATCATCGGCTGCCGTGTGTAGGGCCTGATGGTGACTGTGGTCCGGGGCACTCCACGACGAGGAGTCCATCACGCCCGCCAGCTAAAAATGTTCGAAGTCCGGATGGAAGATGGTTCGGGGACGGCCGGCTGTCCGGCACGGGTGCGGGTGCGGGTGCGGGTACGGGAACGGGGCTAGGGGTGCCTTTCTGGAGTATAGTCTTGACACTGGCCGTGGGATGATCAATTGAGTCGACGTAAAAGGACGTCGAGGCGAGGCGGCTGGGAATCTGGCTTTGAGTTTGGACTTCTCGGCCGGCTCTGCAGCCTCTGCTAGTCGTCTTGCACTTTGTTGATCGACAATGCGATGACGGATGACCGCTTAAACGGGCCGGGCGTATAGTCTCGAAAGGCTTTGGCTTGGCCGGTGAGTCCCGTCTTGGTGACTCCGTAATTTGGCGGTACCTAGCGAGGACCCGAGATGGATTGCCGACGACGAATCGGTTCGGGCTCGCGATCAGGTTTGCGCGACTCAGCGAAGATGATCAAGATATGTGATTGGTAGCTTCCCAGAGACCCTTTGGATGGATGCTTCGTCGGTGGTCTCTGTCGGTTGGATTGAAGCATTAGGTAACCCGACGTGGGACTCTTGCCAACTGTGCGTCTCCTCGCAGCGGGTGAAAGAGGAAGGCAGAGAAATGGAAAGGGTCGATCTAGACTCCGCCGCCCCGCCGACCAGTTGGATACCTCTAGCAGGCACCCGCCGATAAACTTCACGCTATAAAGACCTCCCCCACTGAGAGGAGAAACTCTGCAATCCCCGATTCAGGTACGACCATTCACATCTTCAACAAGGTCAGTCGTTTTGAAGACCTTTCCCCTGCAGATGCTGGTGATTATGTGTGGGCTGGAGACATAGTCCAGGATAACGATGGCTGCAGAGAGCTCAAGCTCCTCGACGTCGCCCTGGTGTCAGGCATGGCCTGTAACTTGGTGTCTTTGAGACAACTCGAAGAGCAACAGATCTGCTGGGATCATAAGAATGGCTGCCTGCGGCGGGGTCCCAAAGGTCAAAAACGACGGGACCTGACCCGGGCAATACGCAGAAACCATGTTGACATCTGACAAGCCCCTCCAACCATTGTTCCTTTTTTTTTTTTTTTTTTTTTTTTTTTTTTTTTTTTTTTTTTATAAAAATTATCGCGGGACAGCTGGTTCGACCTTAGTTCAACACGAGCCCTCTCCCCTCGAGCCGCAGATTCCCGGGTTAGGCAGTGGGGCCGACAGTTACCTAGCTCACGGGCTAGGAGGCTATACAAGTGAGGTGACACCTTCCAGATCCATTCCAGGCATTCAATGTGACGAGAAATTAAATTTGCGAACGAATGGGAAGCACGTGGGAGGGAATATCTGTCATTGTCCTCGCCTGTTCGCGCTTATTTAGAGAAACATCCATCCATCCCCGAACGAGCACATTTTTCTTCTACAATTTGGCTTTTGACGCATGATAGATAACCATTGGATGGTCATTGAAACGGCCACAATAAGATTCACAATCTGCATTTCAACAGCGGAGTCCCATGTTCAAGAAGTGGGGGTTCCACCAGATGCATTGTGCATAAACGATCATCGTGCGCCTCCTCCAACCCCATTGGATCATCGCTCGTCTCGTAGAGGTCACAGTATCATACATACATATACTATGGTACACACATAGCGTGCTGCATGTAACTCGGACACTTCGAGGGACTTTCAAAATTATGCATTAACTAGATTATTAGCAGAATGGGAAGGTGGCCTTAGGCTGGAGACAACAACAGGAACGCCTGGGAATGCAGCTAGAGAGGATATTCTGGTGTATATGCACAATTGCGGTTGCAGGGGTTTCTATTGTATGGACATAGAAGAAGACCTTGGTCCCCTGCCCTGACAGCCCACCACGTCTTTTTCTCTCCGAGGAATCAACATTTTGTTCTTGTTACGCAATCGTAATTCGAAACACAACGAGGAGACAGACACAGGGGTTGCTAGACAAGAAGAAGTTTATGTTCGAGCCCGTTAAAACGACTGTATCCCATATTTAAACGACCGTGTACCTGAAATGCGTAAGCCGCCTGCCGCAGAGGTTAGGGTCAGGGTTAGTTGGTATTAGGGTTAGCGGTTAGGGTCAATTAGGGTTAGTTCCGGGGGGCAGGGGGCCGGCGAGAGGCCCCCGCAAGTGAATGTGAGTTTGACGCTGAGAAAGACGTTGTTTTGAGCTTTGAATGTCGTGATGTTGAATGATGATTCTAGTCATGACTTTGGTAGAGGTTTTGGAAGCGCGAAACAGATACCACGGACACCAATCTTGGCAGTTCAGCATGGTGGACCGCGCCAAGGCCGATATGTTCCATATGTCCCAATGTCGAGTTTACGAAGTAGTCTTCAGTTCGCAACATCGACACTTGATGGCTAACATCAAACGCAAAAGTTCTGACATGGATATTTGCTGGGAATGGGGAGTGGTCAGGGACAGTCGTTCAACTAGGAGACACAGTCGTTTTAACGGGCCCGTTTATGTTGGGATGGAAATGGGCAACTTGACCCGATGACTGCGGTAGTGTATCGCTATGTTGTTGTACTGGTTTCACTAACATGGCAGTTGGGTGTTTAGTATGGAATTATGATTTTGGCCGCTACCCTAATTTCGCAAGACAGAAAAGAAGGACGAAACGACAAAGCTGTGACCAAACCCGGGTCACCAATGTGAATGCAATACCAGAATGCTTGCTCAACGAAAGAAACAACAACAAGGTTAAAGAGAGTAAAGAAGAGAAAACAACAGTGGAATACGTGAAAGTCAGGAGACACGCTGAAAACAGAACAGGCTGCTTTTAGAGATGATGATAGTGATGATGATGATGATGATGATGATGAATAATGCCGGATCTACCTACATGATGGACTAACTTAATAACAACATGACCTTTCTTCCCACCTGCCTCGCGTCTCTGACCTGGAACTACACCTCCGCTCCAGCCGCTTTCCTCTTTTGCCTTAACAGCAACAGCAACAGCAACAGCAACAGCAACAAATAATAACAGGGTATCCGAAACGATAGACGGAAAACAAACAAGCCGACAGACAATACATTTCTTTCCTTCCTTTCCTTCTCCTCCTTCTCCTTCTCCTCCTCCTCCTCTACCTCTTCCCCCGAGTGTTCGTTAAGTGGCGTGGGCGAGTTGTTCATAACAGTTTTATACGTGTGCACCGCGCCCGCGCACAAAGGGCAAATGAACAACAAAAACGTTGATAAAGGGAGACCGAGTTCCGCCGCGATTACAGGATTATGATAGCATCCTTCGGGACAGCCGGAAGAATGAGTGACGAGAAGAACAAACAAACGATGACGACAGAGACACAACAAACAAGCAGCCGACCAGACAATTTTTTAGTGGAAAAGGGATAGACAGAAGCAACAACCGAACCGAGCACCCCATCACCGACCATTTTGCTCCCCCAAATTGAGCCAGCTGATATCATCGCGCACTACCTGCTGCTGGGGCGGCCGTGATGGTACACGTTGTTGCTGGGCAAGCTGAGACGGCACCCTCCCCGCAGGCGCCAGGGGAGTCGTGTAAATGCTCGCGCTGTACGCACTGCTGGGGGCGCGGTCAGCGCCCCACGGCTTCGTGAACTCGGTCGGGTCCCAGGTATCGTGCACGGAAGCGGGAATGCCGCTCGAGTATCCCGAGAGGGAGCTCACGCCGCTGACGGGGCGGGGCATTTCAATCTGGCCGCTCATGCCCTCGTACCGCTTCTCGTCGTGGTGGTCGCGGTGCGCGATGGTCGGGCTGCCCGAGTTGACGCGGTTGAAGGTGAAGGACACGCGTGGCTCGTAGACTTGGAGGGGAGGCACTGTCGCGCTGTCCTGGGTCATTCTATGCTGAGTATGCTGGCTGTAGTGGGAGCTCACGTCCGAGACCACGGTGGTTCGTTGGGAGACTTGGTTGACCACGGCGCTGTTGGTGTTGTTGCCGAGTCCGATCACGTTGAGGGCTGAGCCGCCGGACCAATACCGGTTCCATCCGGAGCTGCGCCGAGTCTCCGGGTCGACGTTGGCAGCGGCCGCAGGGTTCCGAGGCATTGGCTGGGCTGGGGTGGGTGCGAATGAGACTTCCTTTTCGTGTGGCGCCAAGAACGGATTCTCTGGTGGCTCGGGGGATACGGTTTGCGAAACGGGAATCGGCCTGCTGATGGTGCTCTTGAACGCCTTGAAGGTGCTGTCGTCCGAGTTGCGCCTGCCGAAGCCGTTGCTGATGCTGAGCTTGCGGCCAGGGGAAGAGCGGCCCGGCTTCTGCTGGTTTGTACCGCCGCCGATCATCGCCAGGGATGACATGGAGCCAAATGAATCCTGCGCCTGGTGTCCATGGCCACGGAAGGGACCCTTCGTATCTGGCGGGAACCCGTAGCCAGCCTTTTCGTTGTAAGGTCCTCCGCTCCCACTCCTTGCACGGCCTGTCTGGTTGCGTGCCTGCTTCCTACCCTTCCTCTTGATGTAGAAGTAGATGGCGAACAAGACAATGGCAAGTCCAAAGATTGAACTCAACACTGCGGCAAGGATGATATTTGTGTTGGACTTGGAATGGTTCGAGCTCTCGGCACTGCTGCTAACAGCCGCGGTAGCAGCACTCACAGGGGAAACTGAGGAAGCTGTCGTGGGAGTCGCGGTGACCAGCGTCGTCGGAGCTTCCGACTTTGCCAGACTCGTAGAAGTCGTCTGCGAAGCAGTTGTGGAAGTTGCTATTGATGTTTCCGAGGTTATCGAAGAGGTGAAGTCGGCAACGGACACCTTTTGATCCACCAACATGTCCGTCGTATTATACCAAGAGTTGGTCTTGGCATTGAACATGCCCAGAGGTTCCTCCGAATTTCCTCCCACAAACACAACCATCCCATTAGGTGCCTGCGCAATCGCATAATTACTCCTCGTGCTGGTGGGTGCCAAAGTCGCGTTGTATTGCGGCCAGGTCAACACGTTCAACACATTCCTCTTTTCGCTGGTCGACTGTTCCTCCTCCTCTGCTGTTACATCCCGCTTCGTCGCTGGCCCAGCGTTCTGAATGGGTTGTTCGGGCCCAGTAGTTAACAGTATCCGCTGCACTACATTGGGTGACTGTGTCATGTCGAAGGTGAAGAGATTTTGTGATCCATCATCGCCGCGCACCAATGCCGCCTTAATTGCTGATGCGATCGGCGCGGCAAGAGTTGCTCCCGAGTCCCTCCACCCTGTCTCAGGCTTAAAAAGCATAACCTGTTTGTTCGCGGTGCTGCCACCGACCATAACAGCCTCGCTGTCCGACCATGGTAAAAGAATCGGGTTGACCGCAGGCGGCACGTTGGCTTCGAATGATCGAACATCATGCGGTGCCGACGCGCCGATGGCATATGTTTGTGTGGATGGGCCGGTTGACCCATCTTGGTTGCCAGCGTAAACAAGGATGGAATCCGTTGCGTTAAGATAAACAGCGCCGTGTAGTAACCGATCCTGTGTTACCGGTGCTGGCAACTGAAGAGACTCCCATTTCCCTGTCGAGTACGTGTACTTTTGGATGCCCTGGTAGCCCTCCGTTTGTCCCTTTCCGCCGACGATAAAAAGTGAAGATGTCGCTGCCGTGCCTGTTGTCGCGTCTACGCAAACGCCGCCCGTGACCTTCTCGCCCTGCTCCAACTTCTTCCACTTGGCGCCTGGGCTTAACTGTAGCGACTGAAACGCGTCGGCCGAGTACGTATAAAGCGTGTTGTCGAAAATGACGGCGCACGCATTTGTCAAGGGAACCTCGGGCTCGGGGAGGGTCATTTTGTTGTTATGGCGGATGTCTCCCCGTTCGTGACGGGGAGAATGATGTAAATATTAGGGTGAATCGGCCGGGTCGGAGGAAAAGAGGTCTTTGCTGATGATGTTTCGTGCCGGCTATAGCGACATGATGAACTCGCAGAGAATGAAAGAAAATGAGTGACAGGTGACGATGCTGAGTAAGTCTCTGATCAAAGAGAAGCTGAGAACAATGAATGATGTTCTGGAAGTCGAAGAGGGCCAGCCCTTGTCGGATCAAAGGAGAATTGTTGATCGACAGGAACACCTGTTGGATGTTTCCGAGAAGGAAGATGAGAAACAGAGGGCCTTTCGTTTGTGTTGCGGGAAGAAACGAGGGTCTGTGACTCTGTGTCGCAGGATCGGGGGATATGAAGCGGACTCTTGGACTGAATCTGGTAGGTTTCCACTCTGGCTAAAATGGTCTGGTGGAACTCGCAAGCCCCTGGCACATTAATGCTTCTGTGCTAGCGTCGTCGTCGTCGTCGTCGTACAAGCAGATGCAAGGAGATATTTCATGGGCTCATCAGCGTGAGACAAGGCAAGGTCTCGTAGCAAACTTTTTGTTGTCCTGGGTGAAGGAGAGTCGAGCACTACAAGCCGGATCCCAGTGAGACAGGCAAAAACGCGAAAAGAACGGGAGGAGGAGGAGAACCGAGAAGGTAGATAGTGAGTGAGACGAGGCCTGACGGAGAGACGAGAGAGACGGCAGAGACTCGACGAGATGGAAGGACGGCACAGAAGGACCGAGACACTGGAACGACTGGACCAGGACGAGAATGGGGGAGATTGTGCGGACGAGGCACTCGCCCACTCGGAGCATCTGGCACTCTGGCAGGGAGGGAAGATACACCAGTCGGCGAATCAGAGGCGCCAATGGGCCGGACAGGGGACGGAGCAGGGGACGGCGCAGGCACTGGCAGGGGACTTTTGATCCGTTGCGTCACGTATCGTTTCGCGTGAGGTACCTGGGATCGCATAGACGCCAGGGCCAGGGGGGAGGTAGCCGGTCTTGGTCGGGACATGTCAGAAACAGCTGGTGACTTTGAGGGTATCCATACAAAGGGGGCTCAGGCGCAAACAAACTTGGTACCAGGTAACTCTGAGCAGCACACGAGCTCGTAGCTGCTACCTCGGCTGTGCTTGGGGCATTTCCAGCCTTCCTGTCACTGGCGGGCTTGCGTGTTCGCCCAGAGGCATGGTGTGCAGTAATGCGTGATGGGTCGTGACTAGTGTTGAGACGGGCTATCTGTCGTTGATATCAGGATACGGTTGTGGATGTTCTCCGCAGATGCTAGACCGGGATTCGGCTGGGTCTGGGACGGACCTGACCTTCTCTCGCAGGTGTGGAGATGGAAGCGGTGCAAAAAGAGGCGAGGACCCTGGCCAAAAGTGGACGGCCTCCATCGAGCGTGACTGGAACGGGCAATCCGGTAGAGGGTCGTGATCAGGACCAATGACAAACAATCAGCTAGAAAATCAACAGGACTCGTAAAAATTAGCGTCGATAGGCTGCCTGTCATCCAGAGCCGAATTCCGAAAAAAGAATTCTGGTTCAAGATGGCCATGTTGCGGGAGGTCAGAATTATGTGAGAGCGAAGCCAAGACGACAGGAACCAACTGCAGGATGCAAGTCGATGCGAGAAAGCCGGAGCCGCACTCCGACGAACTTCTCATGCGAACTGGGCTTCGTGTGAGAACTGAAAAAGTCTCTTGGCTCTTGTCGCCTGGTCCTTCCTTTTGCCTCGTGCCCTTGTCTGCGACTTCCCCTCGCCAGAACTTGAAACACCACCTTACTGGTGCGTCCCTGGTGAAAACGGTCTTGGCAGGACCGGGTGGAGAACACCCTCAGTGGAGTGCAGTGTGGGGTCCTTTTCTTCGCCTGAATGTCTTTTCCTCACATCACCCGTCCTTTCTCATTTGTCGCATTGCCAGCATTGCGTGTGAGAGAGTACCAGAGTCGAGAGCACCTAGTTCGGAGATGGAACACCACACCAACAACCACCTGTTCATCCCATCGTATCATTTTGCACAGACCAAGAGCGCCCCCTTAATGAACCATTCGGTAACAAGCAGCGAGGCAAGCAATCCGTCGGCAAGCAAGCAAGCAAGTCAGGAAGCAATTTACAGTACAGTAGCAAGCAAACCCAGGGACCAGGAGTCATGGAACTTTACAATATCCAGAAGATGACGTTTGCCTTGGTCGCGCAAATTTCCATGATACCATACCATCGTCATCTCGAAATACGAAGGACGGCAACGTCTTTTTTTGCGAAGCCTGTCAGCAATTTATTCAGTGCTATAACGAGGTATCGACCTTCCCATCGTGGAACTTTCCACATGCAGGTGTTGTGCGTTTCGACGGCAGTGTGTGGGTGGGAGATGTCACGTCTGCCATGCCTGGTTCCTGACTAGTAATGGTTGTACAATTCTGTAATAACATGGCCAAGTAGAGTGATACCGGCCAGTCTTCTATCGAGAACTGAAGTGCATCTGTTTCCCATCTTCAAGTTGTTTACATTCATTCATCACCTCGGGCAACACAGCCTGGCGCGCCTGGGAATGGATGCGCGCCATGACAAAGTCTTGGCGCGGTCAACATGGTAAATTAGACCGGAGGATGATGCATTTCTGAGAACTTGATATCAACTTCCTCTCCACAGGCTTGCGCGCAAACTTTTGGGTCCCTGTTGCAAGGGAATGTGACAAGTAAGCAACTCCCATTTTCTGTGAGCTATGATACCTACTTAGTACCTCTGGGTTTGTGTGATTTAAGGAACGTCAGTCACCAAGCACTGAGGCGCTTCTATTACTTCCTTTCCATCATCTTCGCCCATCTCTCCGTGACTGCCTTGTCATCAAGAGGTACCCAGCAAACCTACAATAGGTACAGAATCTCCACACACAGTTGCACACACTAACACACGTTTTTACGTGCCGCACGATGTGGGCGGGATGGAATGCAATGCGAGACTTGGATGGCGTCCTGGCGTACGGAAAGGATTTGCACAACGATTGGAATGCTCTGAATGAAAACAACATCAACCTCAACTCAAGGCTTGAATTGAAGAATGACAGGTCGCGCGTTTATTCGCCCGCGTAGTCCCTCACTCTCATCTCTCGATTACATAGCTAGCATACTATGTAAGTTCTGGAGTGTCGATCACTCACTCCAGTGATCACCGACAAGCGAAAAGCGTTCGAAAAGCGCAAAAAGTTGAAAGCCATGACATTCCTCAATGCAAACTGAAATGTCGTTTCCCGTCGTGACAACCAAGAACCAAGATTGATCAATAAGCGCCCGCACTACCCATCCTCCGATAAAGCTCTTGCATTGGACGAGGCTAAGTACAGTTCAACCCTTAAAAGTTCGTTAGCGCGGGACTTCACTACGCACTCTTCGCAACTCAACCACCATTCCACCACATTTCATGCAAGAAGTTGGTATCAACCAGATGCGCTTTGGGGGCTTTATACACTTTATCCAATTTTCCGTTTTGAATGTGGTTGTCCCGTTGTTTTTCTGTGAAGTTTTGCAGACCCCTGTCACAAGAACCGCGCTAACAAACTTTTAAGGGTTGAACTGTAAGCAGGTGATGACTGCTCACGCGTATCAGGACCACTCATCAGCTTTTCCCCCAAAACCACCCTCCCACCCACCCTATGAAAGATCGACAGATGCAGGTACCGATCAACTGCCGGGGTGGCAGTGACCGCAGTGGAGCAGTGATTCACAGAAACGTCGCATAACGGGGAAAGCATCAGATGCTCACCACCAAACCCCAATCGCAAGAGTGGCGCGCGGCTTTGATATCTCATTAGCTGTGTGATCTCGCACTCATCACACCCGCGCTTGACATTTTCACGGTGGTTAGGCTACTGGGCCTAAAGGTTGTGTAACAGTCATGCTGGAGCATCTTCTATGAGAAGCATCGTCACCCAATCAGTAAAGGAATAGACCATGATGATGAAAATCGTAAATGTGGGAAACTCTTTGGCCAAAGTCCCAAAGAGCTCCTGGATATCAATTGAAAAAGCACGCTGTCAAGTGACCGCCCTATAAGAATTCCGCTAGCCGACCCATTTCCGTTACTCCCTTGAGATAGTATGCAATGCAAGTATTGTACAAAGTTAAATTCCTGACGCTTAAAAGCCTTCCTCGTTCCCAATCTTCGTTCCTTGGCTTTTAACAATTTTTTTCTTTCTTTTCCTTGGTCTCCAACTCATCCAAGCAGAGGTAGTTACCCTCCTGGCGCTGATCCACCATCAACTAACAAACCATGCTCACGTTGTTGACCTGCGCTGTTCCCTAGACAGCGTTGATAAAGGCCGTGGGCGGCAAGTTCGCCCTCTGCTCCTCGAATGACTTGAGTGCCAGCTCAAAGTTCCAGTTGGCAGTGCCACTAAGACACAACTCCGAGTATTCTGCTGTCATGCCAGTCCGCTTCATCACCTCCTGAATCAGCTGGTTCTTCGTGGCGTCATCCAGAATCACAGGTCCTGCTGGAGGCACAGCGTTGGTAACCGGAACCTGCGGGACCTGGTTGGCGACAGGGGCCTGTACAGCAGGTGTCTCCGCGGGTGTCCAGTCATGAAGGGTGAGTTGATCGCTAATGACCCGGTATGGGTGCACCGGCGGCGGGTTGCTCGGCTTGCTGGGTCCGAGGATGAAGGTGCGCGTGAAGGTGCGCTTGCCGTAAAGGTTTTCTGTAGTATCCGACTCCTCAAACTGGCCATTGACCGTGATGAGCAATCCCGTAGCGAAGCCGTGGCCGGTAGGGTCCGCGAGGTTGGGGAAGGTGTGGCAGTCGATGAGCCATGCACCAGGGTTCTCCATGCTTGGATGCCGAGTACTGGGGAGAGCCTTCCACATGTCCGCAATGAGATTTCCTCCAGTGAAGAGACGTTGTACCGTTGCTGGGTTTTTCTCTCCCAGTTTGTGCACGTTCCGAGAGTACTTCAGATAGGTCTTCCAGGGAAGATTACGACCCGAATTGGCAATGGCTTGAATCGAAAACCACGAGTCGTCGTCGTAGAACTCGGCAGCGAGGCGGGCTCTGTCAGTGTCGAACATGGGGAAGAAAACTTGGACAAAGATGCTCGCCACATTAGCCTCTCCGTCCCGTAGGTTGGAGGGGAACTGCGGTAGTGGCGTAGGGTGCATGCCCTTGAGGGCCTCGGCAACTTCTTGTGGGCTGCGAACAATTTGTCCGTTGATGTTCTGTAGCGATGGGAACCATTTGATGAGTTCTGCCACGAAGTCGGGCTGGGTGGTGATGGGGTTGCCCG